CTTTTTCACCCCGCTCCAAGTCTGCCCACACGCTTTCATCTCATCTTCACATCACCTCCTCCAAGTCACCCCACCTCCGGACGACCAACTCGCCGCTTCCCTTTCGGGTTCCACTCGAGCAATGGCTTGCCTAGTGATGTCACTTGATGGTTTGTTTTCTCAGAGGATGGCCAATCCATCTCCATTTCTTCCTGCCTATTTGCTGCACAATCGGCTCCTGGTTGGTTCGCTCATTGCCGGAGATCCCTATTGCAGATATTTTCTGGCCGGCCATCTGATCTTGAGTATTGAGCAAAGACAACTGTTGATGAAGGTCTGTAGTTTGTTTGAGATGCTCTTTATGACGCGCTGGTCAAGTCTCTGATCCGTATAGCAAGTAGCACTGACTGACTTCACAATGGAGTTGAAAATCCGGATCTTATTTTCATTTTCATGCTAAGTGCTGTTGACCTCCACACAGACTTGAGAGTAATGAAAGTTTGTCTTGCTTTTCCGATTCTGGCTTTGATATCCTCGTCAGTTCCTGGTGCCTGTAGTTGAAACGATGCTTCCCAAGTCGGTAGGTGAAGGAGGTTGTTTCTTTCAGGTTCCTCCCATTTATTCTGGCTGATTGTTGTCTGTTGTTGTTGTTGTTGTTGCTGTTGGCCAGGAATCTTCATCACCTCTGTTTTCTCTATGTTCACCTGAAGTAAAGTCCTATCTTTGATGCTTCTTCCGCCAACTTGTTGCTTTTCACTTGCATATCTTCCAGTTTGTGGGAAATCAGACATATATCAACGGCGAAGTCCAGATCTTCCAAGTTTGTTTTTGTGTGGGTCCATTTTATGCCTGTTTTCTCATTGTCCGCCGCTGTCTGTCTGTCTGTCGCATTATCCAATCTACTACAATCAGGAAAACCATTGGCGATAGTAGACAGCCTTGCCTCACTCCCTGCCTCACTTCGAAGGATTCCGTAAGTTTCCCGTTGTGGATTACTTGGCATGCAGCATTGTCGTATAACTGTTGAATGACATGTATAATTGTCGATGGCATCCCGTAGTAGCGAAGTAGTTGCCAAATCGCCTCTCGATCGACGCTTTCGAAGGCCTTTTCAAAGTCGATGAAGTTGAGATGGAGAGGTGACTGGCATTCCAAGCTTTGTTCAATGATGATCCGTAGTGTGGCGATTTGATCAATACATGATTTGCTTCTCCTGAATCCAGTGATCAAACAAAGTATGGAATATATACTCTAATAACTTAATGCGGACGCTTATAAATGCAGAATCATGTGACGAGGAATTGAATTCCTGAAGAGTTAGCCTGTCTTTGATCATAGGTGTCTGAGACCTATCTGCTATGCTAGATGGTGGTATAATAGGGTGATAGTAATGTTGAGGTTAGGCGTCGAGTTTTAGGTAAGGAATGAAAGTCAATCGGTGATGAGGTTGTGACATGGATAGGACACGTGCTACGCATGTCTATCCATCCATCCTCTTCTTCGAAAGACAATGTTAGCTGACACAGGACCAGGTTAGAAAACAGCTAGTGCTGGTCAAATCAAAACATACCCTCAGTTCATGAAATACTTGACAGTTAGCTTGAGCCACATTGGGAGAAGGTGTAGGCTATGTGGTTGGAGTCCTCTAGTTACTATTGGTGACATGGTTCAAAATTGTTCTCAGAGGCTTAGAAGCATTTTACACTCTACGACCACATCTACCAAACATTGCAGCTTATTACAGTTTTCTTGAATCCCTTATGGAGTGCAGCTGCTTGAGCTGTTACACTTCTGTGCTAATTTCTACGTTGAAATTCAGCGAGTCACTTGATTACAAGATTAATCTGAAAACACAGCAGTAGATTTATTAAATTTTTAATTAATGAAAATAAAGTGACGTCGATTTCAATAACTTAAAACCTACAATCAACAGCGTAAAATTTTTCACGTTCATTAAGAGTACGAACAACACCCACAATATCGACATATAATATCCACCTTGGACCTAATCGAAAAAGACCTGTGGAATAAATAGACAATAATAATAATAATAACATTACCAGTATCACAAAAATAAATTCAAAAGTATAAGTGTCGACCAAAGATATCGGTCATAGAACCATCGGAAAACCTGGAAGTACTGAACAGCTGTTTCGTCACACTAGTTTGGAACTGTTCATCAGGGTGCAACCACAGGGGTTCGAACCTAGGACCTTCCGATTTTGAGGTGAGCTTACAAACCATCAAGCCATAGGGACCCGATCCAATGGCCAGCCCATGAATTCCAACTTCTCCCGATTAACGATATAGCCCGACTACTAGTCAATGTCCTCACACCCGACCTGCTGTACCCCTACCTTATTGGGGTAAGTCACCAGTTAGCATCAGAGTGAGATTCAAGTGCTGGTTCGCCGGAGTTTGATTTGATTGGCTACATGATTTCATCATGAGCTGATACCGGTTAGAGGGGAGTCTTTGCGAGGCTAAAAGGTGAATACATCTGCGTAATCTCCGAAAACGTGTAGCTGAACACTATCCGGTTTGGTTAATGAAAGGCGAACGTAGAACTGCAAAGTCGTCTATTTGTGATCACCTGTTAGAGTCTGGTCATTTAGCCTCACGTAATTCATCTTTCAAAGTTATCTACATGGCAAAATCGAATTGATCCAAAAGTTTACGTTTTCTTCACTTATGCATAGCTAGCCGAAGCTTTAGCTATACATGAACAGAAACCTAAATTATGTGTTCAAAAGCGTTTTGTCAAACCGCTTTCTTTACCTTGGTCATAATAATGTTCTTTCTAGTTTCTATTTTATTTTGCCACTTGAATTCTTTCCACTTCACTTCACATCTTCATTCTTACCGTAATCGTACTCTTAATTTTCAAAATTTTTAGACAACACTTGACATATAATTTAATGGAACAGGTAACTCACATCGGAAGTAATTTACCAGTGCTGGTATGACACTCTATTGACTAAATGCTGCATTCATTCTGTTTGGTATATCTAATAACTAGACTGTGATCTAACCTGCTAGTTACCTGCTTGTATAAAAGCCCAATATCCATCAACAGCTAACCATACATGTTCGTTGTTCTTTTGCCCTCTTATATATATAAACATAACTCAGGTTAAATAGTTATTTCCACACGTGAATACTTTTCGCAGCCAATGAAATTTAAAGATAAATCACTTGTGTCAAACTGTCTGTCTGTCTACTTTTGACATAGAACTTTGCACCGATATGCAACAGTTCAAGTTGCCACACTCCATATAGCACACAAAGCAAGAGAGGAAAGTAGGAGAAATGCAGAATAGAGACAGTAAACAGAGGTGTGAGACAAAAGGAATAGTAATATCGAAGAACAATATAGTTTCATTGGAAATTATATGTTACAAGGAGTGGATGCATCTGCACCAGCCATTGAGAACGATCACTTTGAGCCATATCACCGATTGTTTCCGGCCATTGGTGTTTACCGTCCGATAGCTACTACAGTGATGTGGTGGTCGGGCTTACACATTGCGATGACCCAACAAGCTACACCGGCTAGAACCAATGTTCCTTCAGGTCCTACTATGCTAGGAAGGTTGTTAGGATAACGATTTGACTAAAAGCAGTTACCAGCATAGTGTAAGATTTTTTCACACTATTCTAGGGGTCTTTGGGCGAAGTCGTACTGCTGGGGAACAGGGATTTGCCAGCAGTGAAGTGTTTCCCTCAGATGACCAGCATGCCGGCCAGCTATGCTGTCTCTCCACTCCGGAGAGAGTGGGTTAGAAAAGGTCGACCTCAACAACTGTACATCCCGGCTTACCCTACGGTGGTCCGTAACCGGCAGTAATTTTACTAATACGGAACTAAACCAAGAAACCAGCTCATGCAGGCCATGTGTGACCGGAATAAGGCAGTTGTCCGCGGTCACGCAACACTAACCCTTTTTCTGTTTCAGGTACCCAAGAAATCAACCAACTTCCACGGTGTGGGCAGCCGGGGAGTAACAACCGTTCACACACTCCCGAAAGCCCATGGAACTTCCTAGAGCATCGTTCTCCCTTACTTCTGTGAAACGCTGGGTCTTTAAGTATTAGGTGTGTAAAGATTTGGGACAAATTAAATCATACTATTAATAGACATTTGACTTTTACAGTCGGTAGCTCATAAGTTCAAAACTTGTCTTTCTTTTTGATGAATTATACTTCTGTTTACTAAGAAAAGATTGTGGTGGTCTACAACTTTAAGGGATATGATACCAAAAACTGGTATTTCCGCATAACTATCTGCCTATTTCTAATCACACAAAAGCGCCCCCCTCCCCCAACTAGAGTAAAATTAACACATTTCAAGTTCTCTTGCAGTTTTACTCATCATCAACTCAACTGTATATAATAAAAATCACACATAGTCAAAATAATCTAGAATGAAACGAACAGGTGACTAACTCCAAGTATTTTTATATTTTATTTCATTCCTTTGTCTTTCCAGTGGAACATAGGGTGGCTTCAAGCTAGAGGCTTGAAGTTTCCGTAGCAGTGGTGTTTATTTTTACAGGATGCGATTGCTAGCCTCATGCCCAACCTTTGCTCTTTACTAGTATTATTACTGGCTTAGCGAGGCACAAGAGTGCGTCTGTGGCCGGGGATAGAACCCCGGATCATGTGCATGATCGGCGAGCGTCCTAACCACCGTGCCACCGAAACACACAAGCTACAAATACTATCATGAAATAATGAAGAAACAATTTTGTATGTGTTTAACTTTGAAGCCTGCTGCCCCACATATGACTGTGGGACAACATTTACTGTCATAGACTAGGGAGGACTTGTTCATTGGAATTACTGAGTTTAACGATATGCTTTAACACCACTCTGAAAGTACTGGGTCCTGTCCCAAATAATGTATTGGGTGTGGACTGATGAAGAGTTCTAAACTAGAACGAAACAGCTAGCTGTCTAGCGCCTCTACGTTTCCAATGATTCTTTACGTGATGTCGATGTGTGACGAAATTCGCATTTAATTTACTCTATTGATAATTTTTTTTTTAAACTTACTACATGACATTTTTTGACATTTTCAGCAACAATCGCCGGATCATAAGGATGTGAATAAATCTCTTGATGTAAATGATATCTATGAATTATATGATTTAGCAATTCCCCTTCATCCTTGATTGAACCTGTAAACAAAGGGAGAAGTTGAGTTGAGCTTTTAAAAATACAGTTAGTTATGAATGACATATATATTTATTCTTTATAGTTGGTTAGTAAGGATTAATTTTCTTGTTACTAGTTAATCTAACTGAATGCAGACACCTATGATGAAAAGACTAGCTGTCCTTGATCATAGGTGCCTGCGTTCTATCACCCGTTTGAAGTGGTATAATAAGGTGAGCAATATTGAGGTTAGTCATCGGTCGAGTGCTAGGTAAGTAGGACGGGAAATCAATCAACGAGGCTGTGTTGTTACATCGACTAAGATGGTTAGGACATGTGTTACGTATGCCTAGCCATCGATCGTCTTCCTCCACACACAATGTGAGCTGACACAGGGTCAGGCTGGAAAACAGCTAGTGATGGTCAAATCAAAACATGGCTTCATCAGTCAATGAAATCCACAACAGTTAGTTTAAGCCAGCCAGCCAGCCACGTAGGAAGGTGTAGACTTCCTGACTGGTTGTGGTCGTCGGAACGGTAAACACCAATGAAGGCTGGAGACAATCGGTGATATGGCTCAAAATTGTTGTAAATGGCTGGCACAGAAGCATCCACTCCTTGTGACTTTTGATTTCAAATGAAACAATATTGTTCTTCGTAATTACTATTCCTTTGTATCACACCTCTGTTTACTGCCTCTATTTTGTATTTCTTCTACTTTGTTCTCTTGCTTTGTGTGCTACATGGAGTATGGCGACTTGAACTGCCGCACATCTGTGCAGACTTCTATGTCGAAAATAGACAGACAGACAGATATCAATCCGTGATCAACTCGCAGAACCAAATTTATTCGAAAAAGGAGCTGAAATTATGTGCGTAGCCGGCAGCTGAACCTAGGACACGCGCGTCAACCTAGATGTATCTTCATCTCCAGAAAGTAATGGTGCTCCCACCGTGATTCAAGCCCACCATTTACTAATGTCATCACTTCAAATGCTAAAGAAAGACGCTGAGTTCTCGAGCAAAGATACAACAATAAATAAAGTTGCAGGTAATATTTATTTAGTTGGATAGAGATATTGATTTTTTTATTTGATAGTACTATTGTTCTCCTTTGGGTCCCCAGTGGAACACATGGCTTCAACAGTAAGTCTCCACGATCCGCCTTAGCGGTATTCCCGACTGCCCGTATTCTCTCACCTCCTCCTCCCACGATCCCCTCTATATCATCCTCGGACCTGATATGTATCCACGTATATATATTTATGTGTGTGTGTATGTTGGTCTCTCTTTCTGTTTGCTCGCTTAGTCTGTGACCATTTCACTTGTATGAACCTGTCTCCTTTAACAATGTATATTCCCCTTATATTATATTATATATAATATGAGTGTTTGTTGACAGTCCGTTGCTTGGTGACATATATCCATATTATATGTGGGGTTGTTGACATGTCTGCTATATTTCGCTATGTATATATGGATCGATACTTCATTATAATTAGCCATTCATGTTAGGACTGTCTAATGATTGTTCACACCCTTGTCTGAACATTCATATATATTTCGCTCTCACAATTTGTGTGACTGACTTACCACTTTGGTGTGATACCACTTTTGCATTCTCCTTGTATTCGGAAATAGAAGTATCATCGCAAACCTAGTGGTCTTCTGATTTCCGCCTTCTTGCGTCAGGACTATTAGTTTCTCGACCAGTCCATAACAATAATTTAGCGACGAGTACATAACAATTTGGCGACGGGGAAAACTACTATTAACCACTCAGCAGCAGCAACATAACAGACCGTCGTTCAACTCATCGTTTCCCATTCGGATTCCACTCGAGCACTGGTCTGGTGCGCGATGTCATTCAACTGTCTCCTCAGCGTGTGCCCACTCCATCTCAATTCTCTTCCACATATTTCCTGTGCAACAGAGGTTCTTAGTCGGTTTGTTCCTAGAGTTTCTTGTTTCTAAATCTTTTTGGCCATTTGGTCTTCAATAAGGAGCTGGTGCAGGCAGTTGTTGATAAAAGTCTGCAACCTGTTGGAAGTGTTTTTGTGATGTGAGCGCCAAGTCTCTGACTCATACAGAAGAACTAATTGACTTCATATTGGTGCTGACAATGTGAATCTTGTTCTTTATGTTGTCATGCCATAGGTTTCCGAACTGATTTCAGAGTGATGAGGTTGTACCTTGATGGATTTCGGATTCCAGCTTTGACATCTCCATCTGCCGTTTGACCTGTAGTTGAAATTATGCTTCTTAGATAAGTGAAGGAAGTAACCTCTGTCAAATCTCTTCATCCCGTTGATGGTGATTGGTACTGGTTGTTGTTGCTGTCGTTGCTGTTAGGTTGGCTATCTGTGTGTCTTTTGTCTGTCTATTTTCGACATAGAAGTCTGCACAGATGTGCGGCAGTTCAAGTCGCCATACTCCATGTAGCACACAAAGCAAGAGAACAAAGTAGAAGAAATGCAAAACAGAGACAGTAAACAGAGGTGTGAGACAAAGGAATAGTAATTACGAAGAACAATATAGTTTCATTTGAAATCATAAGTCACAAGGAGTGGATGCTTCTGTGCCAGCCATTTACAACAATTTTGAGCCATATCACCGATTGTCTCCAGCCTTCATTGGTGTTTACCGTTCCGACGACCACAACCAGTCAGGAAGTCTACACCTCCCTACGTGGCTGGCTGGCTGGCTTAAACTAACTGTTGTGGATTTCATTGACTGATGAAGCCATGTTTTGGTTTGACCACTACTAGCTGTTTTCCAGCCTGACCCTGTGTCAGCTAACATTGTGTGTGGAGGAAGACGATCGATGGCTAGGCATACGTAACACATGTCGATGTAACCGCACAGCCTCGTTGATTGATTTCACCTCCTACTTACCTAGCAATCGACCGATGACTAACCGGAATATTGCTCACGGGAGATAAAGCGCAGGCACCTATGATCAAAGACAGCTAATATTTTCTTGTTTTCCACTCTCAATGGCCAGGTCTCACAGCCATAAAGGAGGACGGAGCGGAGTGATGAGCAGTACACTCGCCCTTTGGTCGATAGCCAGCCAGATATCACGTCTACTAGGCCAGAGACGGCGTAAACTGGCGTATGCGAAACTAGCCCTCTGTATCCTTGGTGAGATTTCGTCGGGGACCAAACCGTTGGCGCCACCTGATGGTACTTCCCAAATAAGTGAAGCGGTCAACGTGCTCTATCACTTCACTCCCTATTTTTAAACTAGGAGTCATTGTAGTCCAGTTCTGTAACATCATCTTACATTTGGCGGGAGCGAATCGCATGCCAAACATTCGTAGATCGCAGCTGAAGGTGTTCAGAAAACTCTGCATTTTGTCAGCGTCCTCGCCAAGAAGGACTATATCGTCTGCATATTCTAAGTCAACGAGATTATTCCCTGGTAGCAAGTCAATCCCTGAGTCTCTGAAATTAGTTAGGTTAGGCTGGTTATTTTCATCACCCCAGCTTCTCTATGTTCACCTAAAGTTCCGTCTTCACTGCCTGCCAACCTCTTTAGCCAGTTTGCTGGTTTTCGCCTTATTCTAAGCGAGACTAATTTGGAACTCATAATCTACAAGTGAATTATTAGGCGTGATAACAGGTGGGCCATTGCTTCACATTTAATTTCTGTTTATTCATTTGCATTTCCAAGTGTAAAACAAAGCTTCAAGCTTCAGTTTTTGAAGTCTAAGTACCAGTGGTATTTATTTCTTAGGGAATTTGGGGTTATTGGCATTACGCTTAACCTCCTCCTCCTCCTCTGTACTGGGCTTACTGTCCGGCTAAGCGGCCGAGAGTCGAACTCCGGATCACGTGCATGGTTGGTGAATATTCTGCCATTGAACTAAATACCGACGCAAGTCTACATATAATTCCATCCATTTTTAACACTATACCATTTCTGAGTCAATCAACTTAAATGGATCAGTTGAAGGCCCAGACAATGATTATTATTATTATCATATTATTATTATTATTGTTCCTCTGGGTTCCTAATGGAACACAGGGCTTCAACTGCACGTCTCCATTTGCTTCTGTCTTCTGCTGTACTTTTCACCTGCATCCATGTTAGTCCATACTCTTTCAACTCCTCTTCTCCTTCATGTCACCCTAGCACTGAAGTCCCACTCGCCGCTTCCCTTTCGGCCTGGTTCCACTCAAGCAATGGCCTGACGCGCGCGCGATGCCTCCTCAGCGAGTGTCGAATCCATCTCCATCCACTTTCTCCTGTATATTTGTTGGGCGATTGGTTCTTGTTTTGTTTGTTTGTGGCCATAGTTTCATACTGGTGATTCTTTCTGGCCATCCGATTTTCTGTAAAGAGCGAAGGCAGTTGTTGTTGATAAAGGCCTGAAATAGCCTGTTGGAAATATTCTATGTGACCCGCCCGCCAAGTTTCTGATCCGTATAGAAGAAGTGACTGACTTGACGTTGTTTGGATTGAAAATCCGACTGAATTTTATTGTTGTGGATGCTGAGTGACGAAGATTGGTTTCCAGATTGGTTTCAGGTTGATGAATGTGTGTGTTTCTCGCCTTCCCGATTCTCGGCCGATTTGACATCCTCGTCCCTTCCTCCTGTAGTTGAGACAATACTCCCTAGATAAGTGAATGAATGAGGTAACCTCTTTCAAATCCCTCCAGTTGATGGTGATTGGCGCTGGATGTTGCTGTTGCTGTTAGTTAGTTATTTTCATAACTTCCATCCTGTCTATGTTCACCTCGAGTCCTGACACTCAGACAATAATACATAAATATTCATGTTGTTGGAATTCAGTTGCATAGAACAGACTTATGCAACACGGTATGAATCACACCCATTGTGTGAAGGCTGACATCATTTCACAGTTGGATAGACTGAAGGCAGGTGAAATAAGACTCCAACCCGGGGACTTATTGTCTGAAAGTCGACTGTTTAAGCCAATAAGGCATATATCTCCCACTACATAACTTTAGCATAAGACATAAGAATAAGAAAAATAGGAATCAACTTACGACAAAAATATGCATTAAGTTTTAACCTTCCACGGAAACAGTTTAAACGACCACGAAGTTGTAGAATTTGACCAACACGTAAACTGGATGATGATGATGATGACGATGGTAAAACAGGTTGTGATTTCAATGCTAATTTTACTAGTTGTTCACATATATAACTTTGTTCAGAGTTCATAGTATCCGTTTTGATGGATTGAGATGATTGAGAATAATTATGCTGAGAGTAATCAGGACGCCATATAGTACACGCTAGACAACCAGTACCATCATCCACTAAAAAATTAAATACCAACAAAAAAACTGGAACATGAATGTATTTTCTATTGTTTGGTTTGTAAGGCTTAGTTATGTTTTTACGAGTTGGGGTGGCGCTAAATCACGAATTGGTAGAAGTAAGAATTCATCGGCTAGCCAGTGAGTTGGGTCGCAGTGGCTGAATGGTACACGAGCTAGCTTGCCTTTCAACCGAAAGGTCCCGGGTTCGAATCCCAGTAGGTGCGTACTGCCGATGTTTCTCAAACTTGGATGAAACGGCAGCTGTCCAGGACTCCCTGGTTTTTAATGGTTCTCTAACTGATATCAATCCGTGATAAACTTGTAAAAACATGAATGTATATTGTAACATAAAGAGATACAGAGACTGGCTACAGCAGACAAAATGATATTGGTTGGTATATTATTATTATTATATCTTTCAATTCCTAAAGGAACATACGCCTTCAGCTGCACGTCTCCATTGCCTTCTGTTTTCTGACAACTTTTTCATCCCGCTCCAAGTCACCCCACCTCCGGACGACCAACTCGCCGCTTCCCTTTCGGGTTCCACTCGAGCAATGGCTTGCCTAGTGATGTCACTTGATGGTTTGTTTTCTCAGAGGATGGCCAATCCATCTCCATTTCTTCCTGCCTATTTGCTGCACAATCGGCTCCTGGTTGGTTCGCTCATTGCCGGAGATCCCTATTGCAGATATTTTCTGGCCGGCCATCTGATCTTGAGTATTGAGCAAAGACAACTGTTGATGAAGGTCTGTAGTTTGTTTGAGATGCTCTTTATGACGCGCTGGTCAAGTCTCTGATCCGTATAGCAAGTAGCACTGACTGACTTCACAATGGAGTTGAAAATCCGGATCTTATTTTCATTTTCATGCTAAGTGCTGTTGACCTCCACACAGACTTGAGAGTAATGAAAGTTTGTCTTGCTTTTCCGATTCTGGCTTTGATATCCTCGTCAGTTCCTGGTGCCTGTAGTTGAAACGATGCTTCCCAAGTCGGTAGGTGAAGGAGGTTGTTTCTTTCAGGTTCCTCCCATTTATTCTGGCTGATTGTTGTCTGTTGTTGTTGTTGTTGTTGCTGTTGGCCAGGAATCTTCATCACCTCTGTTTTCTCTATGTTCACCTGAAGTAAAGTCCTATCTTTGATGCTTCTTCCGCCAACTTGTTGCTTTTCACTTGCATATCTTCCAGTTTGTGGGAAATCAGACATATATCAACGGCGAAGTCCAGATCTTCCAAGTTTGTTTTTGTGTGGGTCCATTTTATGCCTGTTTTCTCATTGTCCGCCGCTGTCTGTCTGTCTGTCGCATTATCCAATCTACTACAATCAGGAAAACCATTGGCGATAGTAGACAGCCTTGCCTCACTCCCGTCCTTACTTCGAAGGATTCCGTAAGTTTCCCGTTGTGGATTACTTGGCATGCAGCATTGTCGTATAACTGTTGAATGACATGTATAATTGTCGATGGCACCCCATAGTAGCGAAGTAGTTGCCAAATCGCCTCTCGATCGACGCTTTCGAAGGCCTTTTCAAAGTCGATGAAGTTGAGATGGAGAGGTGACTGACATTCCAAGCTTTGTTCAATGATGATCCGTAGTGTGGCGATTTGATCAATACATGATTTGTTTCTCCTGAATCCAGCTTGTTCCGGTCGAAGTTTTTCAACCAGGGTGGCGAGTTTGCTTCTCCCCAGGATGATGCGGCTTAGTATTTTGCTTGGGACGGACAGGAGCATAATTCCGCTCCAGTTTTTCCATTGACTTAAGTCTGCTTTCTTTATTTCCTCTTCTGGCTCTATAAATATATATATATATATATATATATATATATATGTTTATATACATAGAATATTCTAGAATAGTAGTCATTAACACTATTGGTGTTTTTTAAATACTGTTGATTTGCTAAGTAAGATCAGTTGAATTACAGTTCACCAAAAATGCATAAATCATTATAAGGATAAAAATGTAATGGCGAATATAATATCAAATAAAATTAAGGAGATTTCTACAAATCATTGAGGATCACTAGAACCTTGATGGCTAGGCGGATAAGGACAGTGTCTGAACCAATCAGCTTCTTTGGTACATACATAAGTTACGTTTCTTAATGTAAATCGCAATATCCAGTCCCAGCAATATGTAGTAGACGAACTCTTAAGGCGAAGTTAAGATTAGTTGGTATGAGGTAGATGACTTTGCAAGTCTGATTAGCCCCTGTGTTCTGTATCCACAAGATGAGATAGAACAGCGTTATGAATGGATTTTGTTGGTACCTCAGCCAACCACGTAGGGTGGTGTTTAGAAATCCGACTATAAACACGCCTAACTGTACGGCCTATGTAACTGACTCTACAAGGGCAGTCAAATTGGTAGATGTAAACAGGAGAGGCGAAATTAGCCAGTTTATCTTTTACTCCCAAACACAAAATAGGGATGGTTTTAGAGACACAGCACAATTGAGCAGCACTAAATGATTTTTTTACCGCATTCCTTGGGCGTTGTGTTAATTTTTCACTGATGTTATCCCCGAGGAACTGAAGTTTTTAAGAATAAGGCCTTTTCTTTTTCGGAACTGTTGACTTGCCATTTGACTCACATTCTTATCAATAAATTTTTCCGGGTAACCGTTCTCACGCAGTAACTGTTTAATAATATTAAGTTCTTCATTAAGACATTCATCAGGACAGATTGCTCTTATTGTATAGACCAAGCACTCACTCTATTAGAGTGCGTTTGTATTTCAAAGGTGTGAAGCTGAGAAAATGAGTATGCTGACCAGTTGATGTAGGTTTTCTATATACACTTCTTCTTATTGTAGCGTACTCTTTTCTAGTCATAAGGATGTTTAAGTATGAAATACTAGATAGAGTCTCTTTCTTTTTCGATGGTAAAATTTATTGCATCATGAACATCGTTAAATTTCTCCAGGATGTTCTTCGTCACATCCTCACTTTTCATAATCCCAAAATGTATCATCCATGTACATGGATAGTAGAATTCTAGTTCATCAATTTCATCTTTCAAAGATCCATTCTGTAGAGTTTCGCAAGGAAAATGTCACCACTAGGATGAGTCCTAGTTATGACCTCATTGCTACAGTTCAAGGTGATTACTTCACCATAGTTTTCATTGGAAACCGTGATTATTTAGATCACAATGCATGTGATCTGCTTAATACCATAAATAGTGGTCAAGAAAACAAGTGAAGATGCCCACAACTATGTACTACTACTACTGATTGGGAAACGAGAAGACAGGGATATCCTGGACCGACGTGAAGAACCTAAAAGACCTGGATTTCGCGTGTGGATGATTTATGTTTGGTGTCACTGTCACAAAATCGAAGACTTACAAGCGAAAACCGACAAACTGGTCGAAGAGGCAGCCGGCGAAGACAGGACTCCGGGTGAACATAGACAGGATGGAGGTTGTGAAAATAACCAACCAACCAACAAAAAACAACGACAGCAACATTCAGCGACAATCACCATCGACGGGAGGGATTTGAAAGAAGTTACTTCATTCAAATTCACTTATCTAGGGAACATTGTCTCAACTACACGCAGTCGGAACGAACGAGGGTGTCAAATCGAGTGAGAATCGGGAAGGCGAAAAACACATTATCATCCTGAAACCAATCTGGAAACCAATCTTCGTCACTCAGCATCAACAACAAAATTGTTTTATGAAATAACAGAAATCCGAATACTTAGGATATCCATCTGTTTAAAAATTTTCTATTAACCTATATTCTTGCACTTAATAAGTCTTGAGATGTTTCTTTTTGATTTATAGTAATGTCCCTGAGTTGTCTTGATGACAGTCGTTGGTTATCTGCGATACTGCCTGATGCAGAGGAGACACAGCCAACTCCAATCTCACTTATATTAGATCCTATGGCCAATGAACATTATCAGTTGTTACTTGGAGAACTGGCGAAAATTGAGATGGTCAGTGGAAATGGTAAGAAATAAAATTTAAATTTTTGGTATTAATGATAGAATTCCACTTGTGTCATCACTTATTAGAAACCATGCTGAAATAAATATCCGAACTCATGTCGCTGAGTTAGTATGAGTGTGGTAGCCATTTATTAGCGTGTAGAACCAAAGGTTGGTTTTGAAAGTAAGTGGGGCAGTCAGAGTAAATGGATGCTTATCGTTCTGTTTTTCCCATATATTTATTTGGGAATACACGTTCAGATTTGTAAATGTAATTTTTAATGGTTGTTTCAGACGACTATTTACTCACTGTCTACTGATAAATAGCACAAATAGTGCTGTACACAAGAACAAATTTTCGCAGCTAAGCAGATTTTAGTAGTAGTGGTAATTCTCAGTCTCTTGGTCATTGGTTCTGATATATCATATCCAGGATTTGATTCCCGGTCGTCGCACACCTTTATCTCCCTTTAGCGGCTGTAAGCCCAATGAAGAGGTAAGGTTGAGCGTAAGACTAGCAAATCCACCCAGCAAAAGAAAACCCACTGCTATTGAAACTTTGGAGCTCTGGCTCGAAGCCGTCCTATGTTCCACTGGGAACTGACGAGGATGAAAAAATGAAGTAAGCTAGATTAAAGCAACTTTCTTTCAATTGTTATGACTTTCTTTTCATCTCCGTGCTTTAGGGGGGTGTTTAATAAAGACCTCTGGATATTTTTTTCATGCAATCGTTTTTCAAAAAGACTAAGATCGTTATTCGGTCTATCCTTGGCAAAGGTTTCATGCTGTGTCAAACACTGAGATAGTTTGGACGTACTGTATCGACGTACTACGGATGACCATCCATGAACTTCCTTGATGAGGAACACTAGCTGACGTAGGAATAGGTTATAAAGGATTTAGATGTGATCAGGTAAACCACTAATTGATGGATTCATTCACTGGTGCTAGGTTCCTTGAAACACTAAGGATAAGTGAATGATGAATTTCGAAAAATACCCATTTATTCATAAGTAAAAACACAGTTTTTGTTTAGCGAATAAATTTCTTTTCAACGACTTCATTTTCAAGCTGTACAGTCGTATTTATATTACAGAAAAAGGTTATTAAGTGGCACTAAATAATTGCTCAGTCAATGTACGTATATATGTGATAAAAGTGATAAGGGGTAGAGTTGAAGTGGATAAATTACAAAAATATTAAAGATGGTTTTATAACAAAAATGTCAAGTGTTGTCTAAAAATTTTGAAAATTAAGAGTACGATTACGGTAAGAATGAAGATGTGAAGTGAAGTGGAAAGAATTCAAGTGGCAAAATAAAATAGAAACTAGAAAGAACATTATTATGACCAAGGTAAAGAAAGCGGTTTGACAAAACGCTTTTGAACACATAATTTAGGTTTCTGTTCATGTATAGCTAAAGCTTCGGCTAGCTATGCATAAGTGAAGAAAACGTAAACTTTTGGATCAATTCGATTTTGCCATGTAGATAACTTTGAAAGATGAATTACGTGAGGCTAAATGACCAGACTCTAACAGGTGATCACAAATAGACGACTTTGCAGTTCTACGTTCGCCTTTCATTAACCAAACCGGATAGTGTTCAGCTACACGTTTTCGGAGATTACGCAGATGTATTCACCTTTTAGCCTCGCAAAGACTCCCCTCTAACCGGTATCAGCTCATGATGAAATCATGTAGCCAATCAAATCAAACTCCGGCGAACCAGCACTTGAATCTCACTCTGATGCTAACTGGTGACTTACCCCAATAAGGTAGGGGTACAGCAGGTCGGGTGTGAGGACATTGACTAGTAGTCGGGCTATATCGTTAATCGGGAGAAGTTGGAATTCATGGGCTGGCCATTGGATCGGGTCCCTATGGCTTGATGGTTTGTAAGCTCACCTCAAAATCGGAAGGTCCTAGGTTCGAACCCCTGTGGTTGCACCCTGATGAACAGTTCCAAACTAGTGTGACGAAACAGCTGTTCAGTACTTCCAGGTTTTCCGATGGTTCTATGACCGATATCTTTGGTCGACACTTATACTTTTGAATTTATTTTTGTGATACTGGTAATGTTATTATTATTATTATTGTCTATTTATTCCACAGGTCTTTTTCGATTAGGTCCAAGGTGGATATTATATGTCGATATTGTGGGTGTTGTTCGTACTCTTAATGAACGTGAAAAATTTTACGCTGTTGATTGTAGGTTTTAAGTTATTGAAATCGACGTCACTTTATTTTCATTAATTAAAAATTTAATAAATCTACTGCTGTGTTTTCAGATTAATCTTGTAATCAAGTGACTCGCTGAATTTCAACGTAGAAATTAGCACAGAAGTGTAACAGCTCAAGCAGCTGCACTCCATAAGGGATTCAAGAAAACTGTAATAAGCTGCAATGTTTGGTAGATGTGGTCGTAGAGTGTAAAATGCTTCTAAGCCTCTGAGAACAATTTTGAACCATGTCACCAATAGTAACTAGAGGACTCCAACCACATAGCCTACACCTTCTCCCAATGTGGCTCAAGCTAACTGTCAAGTATTTCATGAACTGAGGGTATGTTTTGATTTGACCAGCACTAGCTGTTTTCTAACCTGGTCCTGTGTCAGCTAACATTGTCTTTCGAAGAAGAGGATGGATGGATAGACATGCGTAGCACGTGTCCTATCCATGTCACAACCTCATCACCGATTGACTTTCATTCCTTACCTAAAACTCGACGCCTAACCTCAACATTACTATCACCCTATTATACCACCATCTAGCATAGCAGATAGGTCTCAGACACCTATGATCAAAGACAGGCTAACTCTTCAGGAATTCAATTCCTCGTCACATGATTCTGCATTTATAAGCGTCCGCATTAAGTTATTAGAGTATATATTCCATACTTTGTTTGATCACTGGATTCAGGAGAAGCAAATCATGTATTGATCAAATCGCCACACTACGGATCATCATTGAACAAAGCTTGGAATGCCAGTCACCTCTCCATCTCAACTTCATCGACTTTGAAAAGGCCTTCGAAAGCGTCGATCGAGAGGCGATTTGGCAACTACTTCGCTACTACGGGATGCCATCGACAATTATACATGTCATTCAACAGTTATACGACAATGCTGCATGCCAAGTAATCCACAACGGGAAACTTACGGAATCCTTCGAAGTGAGGCAGGGAGTGAGGCAAGGCTGTCTACTATCGCCAATGGTTTTCCTGATTGTAGTAGATTGGATAATGCGACAGACAGACAGACAGCGGCGGACAATGAGAAAACAGGCATAAAATGGACCCACACAAAAACAAACTTGGAAGATCTGGACTTCGCCGTTGATATATGTCTGATTTCCCACAAACTGGAAGATATGCAAGTGAAAAGCAACAAGTTGGCGGAAGAAGCATCAAAGATAGGACTTTACTTCAGGTGAACATAGAGAAAACAGAGGTGATGAAGATTCCTGGCCAACAGCAACAACAACAACAACAACAGACAACAATCAGCCAGAATAAATGGGAGGAACCTGAAAGAAACAACCTCCTTCACCTACCGACTTGGGAAGCATCGTTTCAACTACAGGCACCAGGAACTGACGAGGATATCAAAGCCAGAATCGGAAAAGCAAGACAAACTTTCATTACTCTCAAGTCTGTGTGGAGGTCAACAGCACTTAGCATGAAAATGAAAATAAGATCCGGATTTTCAACTCCATTGTGAAGTCAGTCAGTGCTACTTGCTATACGGATCAGAGACTTGACCAGCGCGTCATAAAGAGCATCTCAAACAAACTACAGACCTTCATCAACAGTTGTCTTTGCTCAATACTCAAGATCAGATGGCCGGCCAGAAAATATCTGCAATAGGGATCTCCGGCAATGAGCGAACCAACCAGGAGCCGATTGTGCAGCAAATAGGCAGGAAGAAATGGAGATGGATTGGCCATCCTCTGAGAAAACAAACCATCAAGTGACATCACTAGGCAAGCCATTGCTCGAGTGGAACCCGAAAGGGAAGCGGCGAGTTGGTCGTCCGGAGGTGGGGTGACTTGGAGCGGGATGAAAAAGTTGTCAGAAAACAGAAGGCAATGGAGACGTGCAGCTGAAGGCGTATGTTCCTTTAGGAATTGAAAGATATAATAATAATAATATACCAACCAATATCATTTTGTCTGCTGTAGCCAGTCTCTGTATCTCTTTATGTTACAATATACATTCATGTTTTTACAAGTTTATCACGGATTGATATCAGTTAGAGAACCATTAAAAACCAGGGAGTCCTGGACAGCTGCCGTTTCATCCAAGTTTGAGAAACATCGGCAGTACGCACCTACTGGGATTCGAACCCGGGACCTTTCGGTTGAAAGGCAAGCTAGCTCGTGTACCATTCAGCCACTGCGACCCAACTCACTGGCTAGCCGATGAATTCTTACTTCTACCAATTCGTGATTTAGCGCCACCCCAACTCGTAAAAACATAACTAAGCCTTACAAACCAAACAATAGAAAATACATTCATGTTCCAGTTTTTTTGTTGGTATTTAATTTTTTAGTGGATGATGGTACTGGTTGTCTAGCGTGTACTATATGGCGTCCTGATTACTCTCAGCATAATTATTCTCAATCATCTCAATCCATCAAAACGGATACTATGAACTCTGAACAAAGTTATATATGTGAACAACTAGTAAAATTAGCATTGAAATCACAACCTGTTTTACCATCGTCATCATCATCATCATCCAGTTTACGTGTTGGTCAAATTCTACAACTTCGTGGTCGTTTAAACTGTTTCCGTGGAAGGTTAAAACTTAATGCATATTTTTGTCGTAAGTTGATTCCTATTTTTCTTATTCTTATGTCTTATGCTAAAGTTATGTAGTGGGAGATATATGCCTTATTGGCTTAAACAGTCGACTTTCAGACAATAAGTCCCCGGGTTGGAGTCTTATTTCACCTGCCTTCAGTCTATCCAACTGTGAAATGATGTCAGCCTTCACACAATGGGTGTGATTCATACCGTGTTGCATAAGTCTGTTCTATGCAACTGAATTCCAACAACATGAATATTTATGTATTATTGTCTGAGTGTCAGGACTCGAGGTGAACATAGACAGGATGGAAGTTATGAAAATAACTAACTAACAGCAACAGCAACATCCAGCGCCAATCACCATCAACTGGAGGGATTTGAAAGAGGTTACCTCATTCATTCACTTATCTAGGGAGTATTGTCTCAACTACAGGAGGAAGGGACGAGGATGTCAAATCGGCCGAGAATCGGGAAGGCGAGAAACACACACATTCATCAACCTGAAACCAATCTGGAAACCAATCTTCGTCACTCAGCATCCACAACAATAAAATTCAGTCGGATTTTCAATCCAAACAACGTCAAGTCAGTCACTTCTTCTATACGGATCAGAAACTTGGCGGGCGGGTCACATAGAATATTTCCAACAGGCTATTTCAGGCCTTTATCAACAACAACTGCCTTCGCTCTTTACAGAAAATCGGATGGCCAGAAAGAATCACCAGTATGAAACTATGGCCACAAACAAACAAAACAAGAACCAATCGCCCAACAAATATACAGGAGAAAGTGGATGGAGATGGATTCGACACTCGCTGAGGAGGCATCGCGCGCGCGTCAGGCCATTGCTTGAGTGGAACCAGGCCGAAAGGGAAGCGGCGAGTGGGACTTCAGTGCTAGGGTGACATGAAGGAGAAGAGGAGTTGAAAGAGTATGGACTAACATGGATGCAGGTGAAAAGTACAGCAGAAGACAGAAGCAAATGGAGACGTGCAGTTGAAGCCCTGTGTTCCATTAGGAACCCAGAGGAACAATAATAATAATAATATGATAATAATAATAATCATTGTCTGGGCCTTCAACTGATCCATTTAAGTTGATTGACTCAGAAATGGTATAGTGTTAAAAATGGATGGAATTATATGTAGACTTGCGTCGGTATTTAGTTCAATGGCAGAATATTCACCAACCATGCACGTGATCCGGAGTTCGACTCTCGGCCGCTTAGCCGGACAGTAAGCCCAGTACAGAGGAGGAGGAGGAGGTTAAGCGTAATGCCAATAACCCCAAATTCCCTAAGAAATAAATACCACTGGTACTTAGACTTCAAAAACTGAAGCTTGAAGCTTTGTTTTACACTTGGAAATGCAAATGAATAAACAGAAATTAAATGTGAAGCAATGGCCCACCTGTTATCACGCCTAATAATTCACTTGTAGATTATGAGTTCCAAATTAGTCTCGCTTAGAATAAGGCGAAAACCAGCAAACTGGCTAAAGAGGTTGGCAGGCAGTGAAGACGGAACTTTAGGTGAACATAGAGAAGCTGGGGTGATGAAAATAACCAGCCTAACCTAACTAATTTCAGAGACTCAGGGATTGACTTGCTACCAGGGAATAATCTCGTTGACTTAGAATATGCAGACGATATAGTCCTTCTTGGCGAGGACGCTGACAAAATGCAGAGTTTTCTGAACACCTTCAGCTGCGATCTACGAATGTTTGGCATGCGATTCGCTCCCGCCAAATGTAAGATGATGTTACAGAACTGGACTACAATGACTCCTAGTTTAAAAATAGGGAGTGAAGTGATAGAGCACGTTGACCGCTTCACTTATTTGGGAAGTACCATCAGGTGGCGCCAACGGTTTGGTCCCCGACGAAATCTCACCAAGGATACAGAGGGCTAGTTTCGCATACGCCAGTTTACGCCGTCTCTGGCCTAGTAGACGTGATATCTGGCTGGCTATCGACCAAAGGGCGAGTGTACTGCTCATCACTCCGCTCCGTCCTCCTTTATGGCTGTGAGACCTGGCCATTGAGAGTGGAAAACAAGAAAATATTAGCTGTCTTTGATCATAGGTGCCTGCGCTTTATCTCCCGTGAGCAATATTCCGGTTAGTCATCGGTCGATTGCTAGGTAAGTAGGAGGTGAAATCAATCAACGAGGCTGTGCGGTTACATCGACATGTGTTACGTATGCCTAGCCATCGATCGTCTTCCTCCACACACAATGTTAGCTGACACAGGGTCAGGCTGGAAAACAGCTAGTAGTGGTCAAACCAAAACATGGCTTCATCAGTCAATGAAATCCACAACAGTTAGTTTAAGCCAGCCAGCCAGCCACGTAGGGAGGTGTAGACTTCCTGACTGGTTGTGGTCGTCGGAACGGTAAACACCAATGAAGGCTGGAGACAATCGGTGATATGGCTCAAAATTGTTGTAAATGGCTGGCACAGAAGCATCCACTCCTTGTGACTTATGATTTCAAATGAAACTATATTGTTCTTCGTAATTACTATTCCTTTGTCTCACACCTCTGTTTACTGTCTCTGTTTTGCATTTCTTCTACTTTGTTCTCTTGCTTTGTGTGCTACATGGAGTATGGCGACTTGAACTGCCGCACATCTGTGCAGACTTCTATGTCGAAAATAGACAGACAAAAGACACACAGATAGCCAACCTAACAGCAACGACAGCAACAACAACCAGTACCAATCACCATCAACGGGATGAAGAGATTTGACAGAGGTTACTTCCTTCACTTATCTAAGAAGCATAATTTCAACTACAGGTCAAACGGCAGATGGAGATGTCAAAGCTGGAATCCGAAATCCATCAAGGTACAACCTCATCACTCTGAAATCAGTTCGGAAACCTATGGCATGACAACATAAAGAACAAGATTCACATTGTCAGCACCAATATGAAGTCAATTAGTTCTTCTGTATGAGTCAGAGACTTGGCGCTCACATCACAAAAACACTTCCAACAGGTTGCAGACTTTTATCAACAACTGCCTGCACCAGCTCCTTATTGAAGACCAAATGGCCAAAAAGATTTAGAAACAAGAAACTCTAGGAACAAACCGACTAAGAACCTCTGTTGCACAGGAAATATGTGGAAGAGAATTGAGATGGAGTGGGCACACGCTGAGGAGACAGTTGAATGACATCGCGCACCAGACCAGTGCTCGAGTGGAATCCGAATGGGAAACGATGAGTTGAACGACGGTCTGTTATGTTGCTGCTGCTGAGTGGTTAATAGTAGTTTTCCCCGTCGCCAAATTGTTATGTACTCGTCGCTAAATTATTGTTATGGACTGGTCGAGAAACTAATAGTCCTGACGCAAGAAGGCGGAAATCAGAAGACCACTAGGTTTGCGATGATACTTCTATTTCCGAATACAAGGAGAATGCAAAAGTGGTATCACACCAAAGTGGTAAGTCAGTCACACAAATTGTGAGAGCGAAATATATATGAATGTTCAGACAAGGGTGTGAACAATCATTAGACAGTCCTAACATGAATGGCTAATTATAATGAAGTATCGATCCATATATACATAGCGAAATATAGCAGACATGTCAACAACCCCACATATAATATGGATATATGTCACCAAGCAACGGACTGTCAACAAACACTCATATTATATATAATATAATATAAGGGGAATATACATTGTTAAAGGAGACAGGTTCATACAAGTGAAATGGTCACAGACTAAGCGAGCAAACAGAAAGAGAGACCAACATACACACACACATAAATATATATACGTGGATACATATCAGGTCCGAGGATGATATAGAGGGGATCGTGGGAGGAGGAGGTGAGAGAATACGGGCAGTCGGGAATACCGCTAAGGCGGATCGTGGAGACTTACTGTTGAAGCCATGTGTTCCACTGGGGACCCAAAGGAGAACAATAGTACTATCAAATAAAAAAATCAATATCTCTATCCAACTAAATAAATATTACCTGCAACTTTATTTATTGTTGTATCTTTGCTCGAGAACTCAGCGTCTTTCTTTAGCATTTGAAGTGATGACATTAGTAAATGGTGGGCTTGAATCACGGTGGGAGCACCATTACTTTCTGGAGATGAAGATACATCTAGGTTGACGCGCGTGTCCTAGGTTCAGCTGCCGGCTACGCACATAATTTCAGCTCCTTTTTCGAATAAATTTGGTTCTGCGAGTTGATCACGGATTGATATCTGTCTGTCTGTCTATTTTCGACATAGAAGTCTGCACAGATGTGCGGCAGTTCAAGTCGCCATACTCCATGTAGCACACAAAGCAAGAGAACAAAGTAGAAGAAATACAAAATAGAGGCAGTAAACAGAGGTGTGATACAAAGGAATAGTAATTACGAAGAACAATATTGTTTCATTTGAAATCAAAAGTCACAAGGAGTGGATGCTTCTGTGCCAGCCATTTACAACAATTTTGAGCCATATCACCGATTGTCTCCAGCCTTCATTGGTGTTTACCGTTCCGACGACCACAACCAGTCAGGAAGTCTACACCTTCCTACGTGGCTGGCTGGCTGGCTTAAACTAACTGTTGTGGATTTCATTGACTGATGAAGCCATGTTTTGATTTGACCATCACTAGCTGTTTTCCAGCCTGACCCTGTGTCAGCTCACATTGTGTGTGGAGGAAGACGATCGATGGCTAGGCATACGTAACACATGTCCTAACCATCTTAGTCGATGTAACAACACAGCCTCGTTGATTGATTTCCCGTCCTACTTACCTAGCACTCGACCGATGACTAACCTCAATATTGCTCACCTTATTATACCACTTCAAACGGGTGATAGAACGCAGGCACCTATGATCAAGGACAGCTAGTCTTTTCATCATAGGTGTCTGCATTCAGTTAGATTAACTAGTAACAAGAAAATTAATCCTTACTAACCAACTATAAAGAATAAATATATATGTCATTCATAACTAACTGTATTTTTAAAAGCTCAACTCAACTTCTCCCTTTGTTTACAGGTTCAATCAAGGATGAAGGGGAATTGCTAAATCATATAATTCATAGATATCATTTACATCAAGAGATTTATTCACATCCTTATGATCCGGCGATTGTTGCTGAAAATGTCAAAAAATGTCATGTAGTAAGTTTAAAAAAAAAATTATCAATAGAGTAAATTAAATGCGAATTTCGTCACACATCGACATCACGTAAAGAATCATTGGAAACGTAGAGGCGCTAGACAGCTAGCTGTTTCGTTCTAGTTTAGAACTCTTCATCAGTCCACACCCAATACATTATTTGGGACAGGACCCAGTACTTTCAGAGTGGTGTTAAAGCATATCGTTAAACTCAGTAATTCCAATGAACAAGTCCTCCCTAGTCTATGACAGTAAATGTTGTCCCACAGTCATATGTGGGGCAGCAGGCTTCAAAGTTAAACACATACAAAATTGTTTCTTCATTATTTCATGATAGTATTTGTAGCTTGTGTGTTTCGGTGGCACGGTGGTTAGGACGCTCGCCGATCATGCACATGATCCGGGGTTCTATCCCCGGCCACAGACGCACTCTTGTGCCTCGCTAAGCCAGTAATAATACTAGTAAAGAGCAAAGGTTGGGCATGAGGCTAGCAATCGCATCCTGTAAAAATAAACACCACTGCTACGGAAACTTCAAGCCTCTAGCTTGAAGCCACCCTATGTTCCACTGGAAAGACAAAGGAATGAAATAAAATATAAAAATACTTGGAGTTAGTCACCTGTTCGTTTCATTCTAGATTATTTTGACTATGTGTGATTTTTATTATATACAGTTGAGTTGATGATGAGTAAAACTGCAAGAGAACTTGAAATGTGTTAATTTTACTCTAGTTGGGGGAGGGGGGCGCTTTTGTGTGATTAGAAATAGGCAGATAGTTATGCGGAAATACCAGTTTTTGGTATCATATCCCTTAAAGTTGTAGACCACCACAATCTTTTCTTAGTAAACAGAAGTATAATTCATCAAAAAGAAAGACAAGTTTTGAACTTATGAGCTACCGACTGTAAAAGTCAAATGTCTATTAATAGTATGATTTAATTTGTCCCAAATCTTTACACACCTAATACTTAAAGACCCAGCGTTTCACAGAAGTAAGGGAGAACGATGCTCTAGGAAGTTCCATGGGCTTTCGGGAGTGTGTGAACGGTTGTTACTCCCCGGCTGCCCACACCGTGGAAGTTGGTTGATTTCTTGGGTACCTGAAACAGAAAAAGGGTTAGTGTTGCGTGACCGCGGACAACTGCCTTATTCCGGTCACACATGGCCTGCATGAGCTGGTTTCTTGGTTTAGTTCCGTATTAGTAAAATTACTGCCGGTTACGGACCACCGTAGGGTAAGCCGGGATGTACAGTTGTTGAGGTCGACCTTTTCTAACCCACTCTCTCCGGAGTGGAGAGACAGCATAGCTGGCCGGCATGCTGGTCATCTGAGGGAAACACTTCACTGCTGGCAAATCCCTGTTCCCCAGCAGTACGACTTCGCCCAAAGACCCCTAGAATAGTGTGAAAAAATCTTACACTATGCTGGTAACTGCTTTTAGTCAAATCGTTATCCTAACAACCTTCCTAGCATAGTAGGACCTGAAGGAACATTGGTTCTAGCCGGTGTAGCTTGTTGGGTCATCGCAATGTGTAAGCCCGACCACCACATCACTGTAGTAGCTATCGGACGGTAAACACCAATGGCCGGAAACAATCGGTGATATGGCTCAAAGTGATCGTTCTCAATGGCTGGTGCAGATGCATCCACTCCTTGTAACATATAATTTCCAATGAAACTATATTGTTCTTCGATATTACTATTCCTTTTGTCTCACACCTCTGTTTACTGTCTCTATTCTGCATTTCTCCTACTTTCCTCTCTTGCTTTGTGTGCTATATGGAGTGTGGCAACTTGAACTGTTGCATATCGGTGCAAAGTTCTATGTCAAAAGTAGACAGACAGACAGTTTGACACAAGTGATTTATCTTTAAATTTCATTGGCTGCGAAAAGTATTCACGTGTGGAAATAACTATTTAACCTGAGTTATGTTTATATATATAAGAGGGCAAAAGAACAACGAACATGTATGGTTAGCTGTTGATGGATATTGGGCTTTTATACAAGCAGGTAACTAGCAGGTTAGATCACAGTCTAGTTATTAGATATACCAAACAGAATGAATGCAGCATTTAGTCAATAGAGTGTCATACCAGCACTGGTAAATTACTTCCGATGTGAGTTACCTGTTCCATTAAATTATATTCGATAGATTAAATGAAGATCTGAGTTGCGCTACGAGTCGACCCAACGATCTCTGAATTATCAGTACGGTGCTTTACCAGCTGCGAGGATATGAAAATTCAGATAGTCCTGCTATCATTACAAAAACAAAAATTAAAACAAAAACTTGGTACATTATGAGCACCAAAAGATGTGGCACGCAAAGTCTCATAGTTTTTGCAAGGGCTGGAATATGCACCGCTCGGCCACTAGAACTGAAGCAGGTAGTTGTCTAAGGGGCCACCCTCTGGAATCTTTAACTTGAAATCTGATCCATATGGCAGTGGTGGAGCAGCATCAGGAGTTCCGTTCCTATGGTTGCCAGTGACCGAAACATCATTCAATCCTTTCGGATTTCGGTGCCCATGTACACCATAAAAGGTTTGGAATCATGGTTCCCCAGCTTCCCCAGGGTCGGTTTGCACATCCATGCAGTCTGGTTGTAAACTCTAGATGTTCGTATTCGCCCCCTTAGTTTACTTTTCTGAGGAACACAAACCCTCCGCGGCGTAAAAGCAGTAAATGGGACCTACCTAGTGGAGGCCATATAACAACATTCCAATGGAGAAAGACTGAAGTCTATCCACCTTCGGCACAGTGCCTCGTCGTTTAAGGAGGTGGGGAGGGGTCGCGTCATAAATGGCATGTGTTTAACAACCCAAAGGTTACGTGTTGCACTCACGCTTATTTTTTCTTTTTGATTATTGAAAATGATTATTTTAGATTTTAAAAGTTTTCGTTAACATTATCGCATTTCTTTTTCTCTCTTTTGAAAAATCTTATATAGACAAATTTAGCGAATTCTCTTGTAACAGAATGTTGTCGATATCTTGTCGAAGATAATATTCAATTATTCACTAAATTAGACTTATGCGTACATTCTAAAATAGTTGAATTAATCACAGATAATTGGACGTCCTTAGGTGTGGTAAGTAAATAGTTTTTTTTGAAAAAATAAATTTTTTTATTGTTTGCTTAATATTGTCTTTTCCTAGAACGATATATTTTCCTTCACGTTCCCCAGTGGAACGTGAACATAGGGCTTCAAGCTAGTGGCTTGAAGTTTCTGTAGCAGTGTTTAATTTCACAGGATCGGGTTGCTAGCCTCATACCCAACCTTTCCTCTTTATCAGCATTATTTCTGGCGTAGAGAGGTCAAGGATCAGTAGTTGTATACCACTCACATTGACCAGTAGTGTGTTCGCTGGCCAAATCGAAGTGATTTAAACACCAGAAGGCGATTTCACTTGTTTTGCGTCGAGCTCAGCTCAATGATGTACACACTGTTTGACTCAGGCCAGAGAGCTGAATTAGTGGAAACCACCCAGTTCCTAACTAGCCCTGCTTAGATTTAAGTTTCGTACATGTTGGTACTTACCACCATTCAGCTAGGTGCATCTGCATTCTTGAAGAAACACATGTTCCCTCGGAGATTTTAACCCGCGTCACCCTACTAACTAATCAGAGTATCTGTTAAAGTCTTACTGGAAGTCAAAGGTCGGTGACACAGTGGTTAGGACGCTCGCCGACTATGCACTTGGTCCGGGGTTCGAACCCCGGCCAACACAGTCCTTTACTTTGCTAAGCCAGAAATAATGCTGATACAGAAGAAACGTTGGGCATGAGGCTAGCAACCCCATCCTGTAAAATAAACTCTGCTACATGAACTTCAAGCCACTAGCTTGAAGCCCTATGTTCCACTGGGGAACGTGAAAGAAAAAAATGTAGCAGAAACATTCGTTCACACACCTAGAAAAAAGAAAACGAAAAATTGAGTAAATAATATCCTTTCCGATAATTTCCTCTTGTCCTTCTTATTATATTACTATATCCTTTGATTCCTAGAGGAACATAGGGCTTCAGCTGCACGTCTCCATTGCCTTCTGTTTTCTGCCAAATTTTTCACCCCGCTCCAAGTCTGCCCACATGCTTTCATCTCCTCTTCGCATGACCTCCTAGTCACCCCACCTCCGGACGACCAACTCGTCGCTTCCCTTTCGGGTTCCACTCGAGCAATGGCTTGCCTAGTGATGTCACTTGATGGTTTGTTTTCTCAGAGGATGGCCAATCCATCTCCATTTCTTCCTGCCTATTTGCTGCACAATCGGCTCCTGGTTGGTTCGCTCATTGCCGGAGATCCCTATTGCAGATCTTTTCTGGCCGGCCATCTGATCCTGAGTATTGAGCGAAGACAACTGTTGATGAAGGTCTGTAGTTTGTTTGAGATGCTCTTTATGACGCGCTGGTCAAGTCTCTGATCCGTATAGCAAGTAGCACTGACTGACTTCACAATGGAGTTGAAAATCCGGATCTTATTTTCATTTTCATGCTAAGTGCTGTTGACCTCCACACAGACTTGAGAGTAATGAAAGTTTGTCTTGCTTTTCCGATTCTGGCTTTGATATCCTCGTCAGTTCCTGGTGCCTGTAGTTGAAACGATGCTTCCCAAGTCGGTAGGTGAAGGAGGTTGTTTCTTTCAGGTTCCTCCCATTTATTCTGGCTGATTGTTGTCTGTTGTTGTTGTTGTTGTTGCTGTTGGCCAGGAATCTTCATCACCTCTGTTTTCTCTATGTTCACCTGAAGTAAAGTCCTATCTTTGATGCTTCTTCCGCCAACTTGTTGCTTTTCACTTGCATATCTTCCAGTTTGTGGGAAATCAGACATATATCAACGGCGAAGTCCAGATCTTCCAAGTTTGTTTTTGTGTGGGTCCATTTTATGCCTGTTTTCTCATTGTCCGCCGCTGTCTGTCTGTCTGTCGCATTATCCAATCTACTACAATCAGGAAAACCATTGGCGATAGTAGACAGCCTTGCCTCACTCCCGTCCTTACTTCGAAGGATTCCGTAAGTTTCCCGTTGTGGATTACTTGGCATGCAGCATTGTCGTATAACTGTTGAATGACATGTATAATTGTCGATGGCACCCCATAGTAGCGAAGTAGTTGCCAAATCGCCTCTCGATCGACGCTTTCGAAGGCCTTTTCAAAGTCGATGAAGTTGAGATGGAGAGGTGACTGACATTCCAAGCTTTGTTCAATGATGATCCGTAGTGTGGCGATTTGATCAATACATGATTTGTTTCTCCTGAATCCAGCTTGTTCCGGTCGAAGTTTTTCAACCAGGGTGGCGAGTTTGCTTCTCCCCAGGATGATGCGGCTTAGTATTTTGCTTGGGACGGACAGGAGCATAATTCCGCTCCAGTTTTTCCATTGACTTAAGTCTGCTTTCTTTATTTCCTCTTCTGGCTCTATAAATATATATATATATATATATATATATATATATATATATATATATATATATTGTTTATATACATAGAATATTCTAGAATAGTAGTCATTAACACTATTGGTGTTTTTTAAATACTGTTGATTTGCTAAGTAAGATCAGTTGAATTACAGTTCACCAAAAATGCATAAATCATTATAAGGATAAAAATGTAATGGCGAATATAATATCAAATAAAATTAAGGAGATTTCTACAAATCATTGAGGATCACTAGAACCTTGATGGCTAGGCGGATAAGGACAGTGTCTGAACCAATCAGCTTCTTTGGTACATACATAAGTTACGTTTCTTAATGTAAATCGCAATATCCAGTCCCAGCAATATGTAGTAGACGAACTCTTAAGGCGAAGTTAAGATTAGTTGGTATGAGGTAGATGACTTTGCAAGTCTGATTAGCCCCTGTGTTCTGTATCCACAAGATGAGATAGAACAGCGTTATGAATGGATTTTGTTGGTACCTCAGCCAACCACGTAGGGTGGTGTTTAGAAATCCGACTATAAACACGCCTAACTGTACGGCCTATGTAACTGACTCTACAAGGGCAGTCAAATTGGTAGATGTAAACAGGAGAGGCGAAATTAGCCAGTTTATCTTTTACTCCCAAACACAAAATAGGGATGGTTTTAGAGACACAGCACAATTGAGCAGCACTAAATGATTTTTTTACCGCATTCCTTGGGCGTTGTGTTAATTTTTCACTGATGTTATCCCCGAGGAACTGAAGTTTTTAAGAATAAGGCCTTTTCTTTTTCGGAACTGTTGACTTGCCATTTGACTCACATTCTTATCAATAAATTTTTCCGGGTAACCGTTCTCACGCAGTAACTGTTTAATAATATTAAGTTCTTCATTAAGACATTCATCAGGACAGATTGCTCTTATTGTATAGACCAAGCACTCACTCTATTAGAGTGCGTTTGTATTTCAAAGGTGTGAAGCTGAGAAAATGAGTATGCTGACCAGTTGATGTAGGTTTTCTATATACACTTCTTCTTATTGTAGCGTACTCTTTTCTAGTCATAAGGATGTTTAAGTATGAAATACTAGATAGAGTCTCTTTCTTTTTCGATGGTAAAATTTATTGCATCATGAACATCGTTAAATTTCTCCAGGATGTTCTTCGTCACATCCTCACTTTTCATAATCCCAAAATGTATCATCCATGTACATGGATAGTAGAATTCTAGTTCATCAATTTCATCTTTCAAAGATCCATTCTGTAGAGTTTCGCAAGGAAAATGTCACCACTAGGATGAGTCCTAGTTATGACCTCATTGCTACAGTTCAAGGTGATTACTTCACCATAGTTTTCATTGGAAACCGTGATTATTTAGATCACAATGCATGTGATCTGCTTAATACCATAAATAGTGGTCAAGAAAACAAGTGAAGATGCCCACAACTATGTACTACTACTACTGATTGGGAAACGAGAAGACAGGGATATCCTGGACCGACGTGAAGAACCTAAAAGACCTGGATTTCGCGTGTGGATGATTTATGTTTGGTGTCACTGTCACAAAATCGAAGACTTACAAGCGAAAACCGACAAACTGGTCGAAGAGGCAGCCGGCGAAGACAGGACTCCGGGTGAACATAGACAGGATGGAGGTTGTGAAAATAACCAACCAACCAACAAAAAACAACGACAGCAACATTCAGCGACAATCACCATCGACGGGAGGGATTTGAAAGAAGTTACTTCATTCAAATTCACTTATCTAGGGAACATTGTCTCAACTACACGCAGTCGGAACGAACGAGGGTGTCAAATCGAGTGAGAATCGGGAAGGCGAAAAACACATTATCATCCTGAAACCAATCTGGAAACCAATCTTCGTCACTCAGCATCAACAACAAAATTCAGTCGGATTTTCAATCCAAACAACGTCAAGTCAGTCACTTCTTCTATACGGATCGGAAACTTGGCGGGCGGGTCACAAAGAATATTTCCAATAGGCTATTACAGACCATACCTTTATCAACAACAACTGTCTTCGCTGGCTCTATACTGAAGATCAGATGGCCGGGCCGGGCCGGAAACAATCACCAACAAGAAACTATGGGCACAAACAGACAAAACAAGAACCAATCGCCCAACAAATATACAGGAGAAAGTGGATGGAGATGGATTGGACACTCGCTGAGGAGGCATCGCGCTGGGTGAAATCGCGCGCGCGTCAGGCGATCGCTCGAGTGGAACCAGGCCGAAAGGGAAGCGGCGAGTGGGACGTCAGTGCGAGAGTGACATGGAGGAGATCGTGTGAAACAGCATGTTGATTTGAAACAGTATGGACTAACATGGATTCAGGTGAAAAGTACAGCAGAATACAGAAGTGTCAAGTGGAGAGGTGCATGTGTTGTTGAAGCCGTATGTTCCACTAGGAACCCAAGGGAACAATAATAATGCTACTGACTGATCGGATGAATTATTGTGTACTATTCACATCAACCAGTAGTGCGTGCTAGTTTTTTTTGTTGCTGCTCACTTGGAAACTTTATCACCACTTATGGCTTCCGAAGGAAACTATGGTGAAATAAAAAACACCCTTGAACTGTATAAATTGCCAACTAATCTGCAAATTACGAAGTTGATTGTGTATTCAGGTGTTCAAATATCACTTAATATATGAAAGAGGTAGGCATACATTTGTTAGAATTTGGGATCAAAAAATATGGGGGATATTTTAGATTAAAAATAGAACAGTAGTAACCTAGTGGGTGGTGACGTGTTTAAAACACTAGGTCCTGGGTTTGAGTTATCATAATGGCAACGGTATCACTTTTACTGGGAATGCATATAAACATCTTGGTGTAGTTATGTTTTCTGAGCTGAATGGTTTATTTGTGAAGTTTTCATCATCCTACTAGGCAACATCTTCAGCGCATACTTCAGTTTTAAGTGACTTTTTAGATTTCCCCACGAGTTTATTAGTCATCTCCGTGGGCGTGATTGATTGTTGTTTTTGTGTGTTTCCACACCCGCTAGGCTACTTGTAGTATTGGTACTGATTATCTCCTTGACTTGAACTTTGACCCTTTTATGTGTGAGATTTCCTTCTTTTGTCTATCTTAATGTGTCTATTGATTGACGATTCATTCTTGGTATTTCCTCTCTCTAATATTTGAACGTTGGTTGTTCCAATCGAACTGATGTCCGTCATTGTCTGTATGCAGCCATATGAAAGAGTAAATGTCATGTCTTGTGACGGCTAGTTTCTGATCATGGATACGAAGACGAAGGGGACGTCCACTTTGGCCAGTGTAGTGTTTTTCGTAATCGTTGCAATTTATTTCGTAGATGATGTTGGTTTTATCTTCTTTTGTTGTTGAGGCTTTTGTTTGACACAGAGCTGATGAGTAAAGTGACACATTTACATCGACAACATTTACCGATCGATCAGAATGAAATCTCATACACAAAAGGTCAAACTTCAGATCAAAGAAACAATCAATGCCAATACAAGTAGCCTAGAAGGTGTGAAATACCAATCACGTTCAAGATCACCAGGGGATATGACTTATAAACCCATGGAGAATTCTAAATAAATAATAAATAATAATTTTTCCTTCACGTTCCTAGTGGAACATAGGGCCTCAAGCTAGTGGCTTGAAGTTTCTGTAGCAGTGTTTATTTTTACAGGATGGGGTTGCTAGCCTCATGCCCAACCTTTCCTCTTTACCAGAATTTTTTCTGGCTTAGCGAGGTAAAGGAGTGCGTCGGCCGGGGATTGAACCCGGGATCATGTGCATGGTCGGCGAGCGTCTTAACCGCTATACCACCGACGCCGAGAATTCTAAAAGCCCACTTCAATTCGAATTGAAGTATGCTCTGAAGATGTTACCTAGTGTAGTGTTAGGGTGATAAAAGCATCATAAATTAACCAGCCAACCAGCTCATAGAACACAACTACATCAAAATCATCCACCTGAGTAACAAATCTTCTTCAGCATACATACACGTCTAGTCAGTGAGTGTGATATGCATATCCCTAGATACAACTAATCAGGTTTAAGTTTACATTAAGCGGGATAGATATTGTATTCACCGCAAAAATTCCCGAAACCCACTTTACCTTGAAATTAGCACTGAATATTTTCAAGTATTGACTGATTGGTTACAAGATTTCATCATGAGCTGACATCGGTTAGAGAACCTATGGAAAACCAACTGGGAGTACTGAACAACCAGCTGTTTCGTCATACCAGTTTGGGACTCTTCAGCGGTACGCACCCAGGACCTTCTGACTACAAGGCTAGCAAGCTGGCTTGTAGACCATTTAGCAACTAGGGCTTGATCCAATGGCCAGTCCATGAATTCTAACTTCTGTCAATTCACTACATAGCGCGACCACATGATAAAATCCTGTAACCAATGAGAGTGTAAAGCAGTTCTTATTCAGAGACGCAGGAATGGAACGAATTACAGGTGTGAAGAAAATGAACATGGAAACAAATTGAAATCAAAATTTTCAACTTGAAATGTAAGTTAGGAGGTGTGAATATAGACAGATTACAAGAGGCATAGAAACAAAAAATTACACAGGATTAGAATATAATTGTAAAGTGGTTATTCTAAACGGATTACAAGTGTGATCAGGAGGAGCATGGAAACAAACTTAAAATAACTGATTTTATAACTGAAAAAAATGGAATGAATTGAATGAAGACAAAGAGAGAAAATTACACACACAGATAACAAAACAACATACAAGAAACTGAAGGATAAGGGAACATACCGAACTAGGTTCATGGTAGTTGTAAAGGCTGGACTAGTTTCTTTTGAACACATAGCTCCGGCTTTTCGATGCATATGGTGAGAGCTTCCGCAGTACAAAGAAGTCGGAAACACACTGCCTTTGGTAGATTTTTGTTTACTTTGTAAATGACCCTAAATGATGAGTCAGTTGAGATTCTGTGACAGGTCTTGACGAGATGTTCAGTTATTGCGCTTCTGATTGAACCAGTGCCTCCTGTTTGCAGGCATGCTGGATGATGTTCTCTAACACGTTTTGGTAAGACTCGCATAGAACGACCTATGTACCTAGCTCCTCACGAGCAGGTGAACTGATATATGCACGTTGAATTGGTCATATGCGGAAGTCTGTCTTTTCTATCCTATTCACTCTAAGATATTCTAATAATATACAAATATTAGAAATATTTGCATAGAAGCTTACTATTTGTGTATAATCCTGCGAGGTTATTAAATTTATTCAGTTACTACTTTATTGTTAGTAAAAGAAACAACTAAACTCAACCGTTTTTTTTCCTATAGGCATATGATGAAACTGAAGCAGACTATTTAAAGCAAACATTTATTGAAGAAGATTCTAAGGAGAATGAATCAAAGTCAACAACCAGTACAAAGAGAAGTTTAAATTCGAGAAAACTACAACTTATAATTCATAGTTTAATTGAAAGATTAATTATTGAAGGTTGGATTATTCCAGGTAGCCAGTCAATTGGTGGAATGCCAGCATATTATGTAAGTGTTGTTCAGTTTCAAGTTTTTCTCTCTGCCTCTCTCTTTTGAGCATTCCCAACATACAACTGACTTCTGGGGAAGTTAAACTTTCAGCACCACTAACAACTAATCAGCAAACGACCATGAACGGACCAATCACATGAAAAAGGGATGTTTGATAAAGGAAAACGTGTATTTATGGAAAAAGCATAAAATTGTTACGGAGGGTATCTTTCTGTAACATGTGAGAGAAATATCTCTCGGCTAAGCATAGGATTGTCAATAGAGAAGTCACACCACATTCTGTACATATATTCATCCAAATGACTATAAATGAGATTCTTTTGAGATCCATTTATAGCCGTAATCCTGTTTTTAAATCTCCCCCAAAATCTTCTTACATAATTTGCATGTGTTCTCGTAATAGGATTAACAAAATCACTGGAATGGTTCAATCTATGATGAATATATCCAAGAGATGACAGAGAGTTGTAACCTTTCCATTCGTCCGTGTGTATCATTGATCCCCGTTTTACAAGTCTGGTAATAATAGTTATTAGAGTAGTTGCCTTTCTATCTGCTATTCTTTCCACGAATCTTTTTCGGAGGGAGGTGTCGTATAAACCAATGACCCAAATATAGTTTGGTGGCTTGCTGACGACCACGGTTGTATTTTTTCTTCAGCAACACAGTTTCGTCGACGTTGCACACCACTTAACTAACTGACAACCTTTAATACCCTTCTCAAAATGACATGGTCCTTTTTCAGAAGCCCGTGAAAGACTAAGAGAGAGAGAGAGAGCAGTAAAGTAGAATAGGTAAGATACACGAATTGAAAAATTGTTAATGTAGAAGTTGACTGATTCCAGATTGTTTTAGCCTCTTAATGTAGTAGCTTAGACGGAACATTTTCTTGGAGATCGATAAAATATGGGATGACAAAGTATGGTCAGAGGAGAAGACTATACCAAGGTATTTTGTGTTAGACTTAGTTTCTATTACAGTCCCCTCTATGCTACAGGCATCGTGTTTTGTTAACCAGTCGTTGTAGATCACATTTACGTCTAAAAGGAGAAGTCAATAATCTGGCATTTTGAGGGATTTAACGTAATACCATTTAGCTTAGACCACTGACGACTAATGTGTGACCAAGATCTATTAAGCTTGCAACAGTCTGATCGGGACTTAACAGGAAGCTAGACGATCAGACGACCATCAGCGTATCTGACGAAGCCGATTTTATTCGGAAGAGGTAAGTTATATATATAAAGAAAGAAGAAAGAAAAGCAGAGAGAACAGCTGCACCCTGAAGAACACCAGCTTCACTAAGCAAGGCAGAAGGAGATTCACCCTTATATACAGTATCCTGCATTCTGTTTGAGAAATAAGGATGTCACCAGTTAACAGTTCAGGAGTCAGTTTGTATGAGGGAAAGGCTATTTAACAAAAGGCATCTAGGTACCGAGTCGAAAACAGATGTGTAGTCAAGGAAGGTACAATGTACATATCTGGATGCTTTGTCTAAGGAGGAGACAGTGTTATGTGATGTAATCCAGCGGCAGCATCTAATGTAACTTCTGCCCTGCCTATAAACTGTTAGGTACTGGTCGAGAATTTAATAGTCCTGACGCAAGAAAGACGGAAATCAGAAGACTACTAGGTTTGCGATGATACTTCTATTTTCCAAAACACCAGGAGAATCAATGTCACACAAGAGTATGAGAGCAAAATATAGATGTCCGAACAAGTGTGAACACAAGTGTGTGAGCGAATATTCAAAATGAACAAATCAATAGACAGTCTTAACATGATTGGCTAATTATAATGGAATATCGATCCGTATATACATAGCAAATATACAGACTGTCAAACAAACACACATATTATATGGATATATATCATAAACAAACTGTTTTGGATCATTAAAAGAGGGTACAGGGTTGAGTAAGGGAGAGTAATTTCTCCATTAATTTCAAAAAATGGCGAGGTGATTGCAATTGATCTAAATTTAACATTACTACCAGAATTGATGTGCAATAAATTAGGTAAAAGTTGTAATTGTTACTATTGTATTAACAGAGAAGTAAAAACTTACTTAACATGAGGTTATATGAATACCTGTTTACATTATATTTTTGTTGCTTTATAGGTTGTTAAAGAAAACAGAAAATTGTTAGATGCTGTTTATAATGTCATCTGTTCACTAGGTGAGTAATATTACTATTATTTCCCATGTTATATTAAGTGACAGATGTGTTAAAACTAACTACATTTGTAAAATAATTCAGGAAGATTTTGTCGATCTTAGAATCCCAAATGAAGGGAATTATGAAGTCGTCTGCATATATAAAGACTTAACTGTTGGATACGGAAAGTGGGCTGACTAAGTCGGGATGTACAGTTTTCCGGGATATACCTTTTTTAATCCCCTGTTGGCAGAGTGAAGACGCAGCACGCTTGGCTTACAAATCGTTCATTACACTTGAGTTTTGCGTCAGCAGTACACGACTTCGCCGTCGGACTCTCAACATAGTGCTAAATGTCTTACATTTATGATGGCATCTGTTGTTAGTCTGATTGCTATTATCCAGACGAATTTTCTAATAACCTATGGGAACATTCTTCTTCCCAGCCATTGTATAGCAAGTTGGATCACTGAAATGTGAGAAATACCCATGTGACATAAATCAAAAAGACATAGGTGGTCAGTAAAGAATATTCTTTGGCATAACTTCACTTCAAAGATGTACAGTTAGTTATGTAGTATTGTGTAGAAGAAGGTCAGGGAATTGTCAATATCGTGTTCTCTTCGTTATATTAGTGGGTAACAATACATATGACTGTCTGTCTGTCTGTTTTCGACATAGAACTTTGCACCGAAGTGTAACAGTTTAAGTCGCCACACTCTCTCCATGTAGCACACAAAGCAAGAGAAGAAAGTCAAAAGAAATGCATAATAGAGAGCAAACAGAGGTGTGAGACAAAGGAATAATGATAACGAAGAACAGTATAGTTTCATTGAAGATTATAAGTCACAAGAAGTAGATGCATCTGCGCCAGCCATTGAGAACGATCGCTTTGAGCCATATCACCGATTGTTTCCAGCCATTAGTGTTTACCATCCCGAGGACCCCAACCAGTCAGGAAGTCTATACCTTCCTACGTGACTGGCTTGCTTAAACTAACTGTTGTGGATTTCATTGACTGATGAAGCCATGTTTCGGTTTGACCACCACTAGCTGGCTCTTTTCCAGCCTGACCCTATGTCAGCTTACATTGCTTGTGGAGAAAGACGACCGATAGTTAGGTATGTGTAACACATGTCCTAACCATCTCAGTCGATGTTATTTCACAGCCTCGTCGATTGATTTCCCGCTCTACGCCTAACCTCAACATTGCTGATTTTATTATACCACTTCACACAGGAGATAGAGTGCAGGCACCTATGATCAAAGACGGCCGGCTAGCCAGCCTTTTCATGTCTTCCACTCTCAGTGATCAGGTGTTGTAACCATGAAGGAGTATAGAGGAGACTGCTGAGCAGTACACCTAGTTGTTGGTCGACAGATGTATATCACGTCTTCGTCGGGACGATGTAAACTGGCATATGCAAAACTAGCCTTCTGTATCCGTGCTGAGATCTCATCAGCGATCAGCCCTCTGGCGTTGGCTGATGCAACTTCCCAAATAATTGAAGCGGTCAACATGCTTAACCACGACTTCATAGAGTGTGAGTATTGCTGGAAGACCTCCTTTACGTTCTGCGTAGAGCATAGGACTTCAAGCTTTAAAGTTTCAGTACCGGTGGTATTCTTTTTTTACGGGGTGGCGCTACGTTTAAATTTCCTTCTTTACCAGGTTTACTACCGGCTAGGTGAGGTTTAGGCGTCCACCGACTGAGAATCAAATCCCGACGAAATGCGTGGTTGGCGAGTATTCTACCATTAAACCACCGATGCATATATATGTGTGTATTTTTTCAGGAGTTAGTTTCATAGGGATTTGATTTGCCTCCTGCTTGATCACGGATTGATTGATATCAGTTAGAGAACCATCGAAAACAAAGGAGTGCTGGACAGTTCGGGACTCACGCACCCATCGCCAAGGCTGTAACCCAGGACCTTCCAGTTACAAGGGAGACTCGTAGACCATCCAGACACTGGGACTTGACTCGATGGCTAACCCATGAGTAGTTATAACTTCTATCAATTCATGCTTTTAGCACAACCACAAGCCAATGTTGTTGGAGAGTATTTGTCCCCCTCACTCCTGACCTGATGAATCCTACTGACCGTTAATTCTCACTAGAACTCCAGGCAAATTCATCCTGTAATAATCACTCACTAGTGAGCATCACATTCACTTCCAAGAATTGGCTTGTAGAGATTCGTTTTGTTTCAAGTGTGACCATAGTTTGATATCAGTTGGAGAACCATTGAAAACCTGGGCGCATATATATATATATATATATATATATATATATATATATATATATATATATATATATATATATATATATATATATATTCAGCGAAGAGACTCTTTTCAACGAATTTATTATCAAGCTGTACAATCGTATATGTATGGTTTTTTAAAGAAATTATATCCGGTGTGGGAATTAGGTCAAAGGTGTGAATACATGAAATAGTAATATCAATATAAAATGCAATTAAAGTATTTGTGATTATAATTATAGTTTAATGTCAAGTGGCAAAATAATTATTGTCATATATATAGAATAATACATAAGGTGTGAAGATGTTGGAATTGGGTACATAATTATAGAATTAGTAGGCGAATATAAAATGTCACAAAACATGGTGTGAAATTTGATAAGATAGAATTCAATATTGTAAAAATAAAAATAAAAAATGAATAATTTAGGATGAGGAAAACTTGTAGTTCTGATTGCATTAATTCAGAACTTGAATTCTTAAAAGCCACACTCGCAGAAAATGGTTGCGCTAACCGATTTATTCACAGCAACATGTAAGATAAGCAGTCTAAACTGGTCACCGACTCAGTTCCAAAGAAATCCTTATTCATGAACTTGGGATTCAAAGGTGATCAAGCTTCAGATATGCTCAAAAATCGTTTCTCTAAATCAGTCAATAAGACGTTCTTTGCAGCAAAATTACATATGACGTTCACGAGCAGCAAATTGTTCTCTACCTCTGTAAAAGATAAGCTCCCCCGTCTGTCCACCTCCATGTGCATCTATCAGTCCACCTGCTCTTGTGGAGCAAGGTACATTGGCCGTAGTCAGAGGACGCTTTCCACACGGATACGAAAACATATTCGAGCTGCATGGTTTTACAAGGCAGAAAGAAAGTGTGGGTGCAAAGCTCTACTCTGGAACACCTGACCAACTTCTGTTACTCGGTCAACCCTGTGCGTCGGTGGCACAGTGGTTAGGACTCTCGCCAACCATGCACATGGTCCTAGGTTCGATCCTTTGCCGACGCACACCTGATATCTATTCCAACATCTACACACCTTATGTATTATTCTATATATATGACAATAATTATTTTGCCACTTGACATTAAACTATAATTATAATCACAAATACTTTAATTGCATTTTATATTGATATTACTATTTCATGTATTCACACCTTTGACCTAATTCCCACACCGGATATAATTTCTTTAAAAAACCATACATATACGATTGTACAGCTTGATAATAAATTCGTTGAAAAGAGTCTCTTCGCTGAATAGTGTGTTCTTTATGCTACAATGGGCATATATATGTATAGTAAGTAAGTGAACCACAGTTCTAACCCCAGTGGGTGCGTACTGCCAATTAACTCCTAAACTAAGATGAAACAGCTGTACTGTACCAGTACTGCCTGCTGGTTTTCAATAGTTCTCTAACTGATTTATCAATCCGTGGTTAAACTCATAGAACCACTTTTGTTATTTAATCAATTGCCTTTATTTTCTTTTTCAAAACAATCTAATTCCTTGTCTCTTCCTCCTTCCTCCCCCCACCTTATTCTACTTACTCCACAAAAATACTGTTTGTTTGTTTGTTTTTCCTCTTCACTTTTTTAGGTTTTGGTGGTAAAGAATCGTCTGTACAGAGTATACTGACTAGTGTTCGACAGTATTCACCTCCTAATGATCGTCAGTGCATGACACGTATGACATTGAATGCATTAAAACATTTATTAAATCAATTAGAGTGTGAGAGTAGAATATATCAAAGTAATTCAGGTTATTATAAAGTTGCATAAGTTAGAAAAGGACAGAAAAAAAGAAGAAGATAAAGATGAGAAGGAGGAGGAGGAGGAGTAAAGCAAAGAAGAACCATTCAATTTAATTTTATTCAGCATTTTGATGTATTTATTTTATTTTCGCATGTTTGTATTCCACTGTTGTGATTCCTGTAAATATGTTTATTTTATTTCGTGAGTTGTTTTACTAGTAATATTATTAATTCTGATTGAGAGTATAAGCCTGGATGGAGATCTGGCTCACTCACTGGCTTGATTTTGAGGCGAAGAGTCAAGTGTTCGAATCTAACTCCACGGCAGTTGCTCTCTCTCTCTCTCTCTCTCTCTCTCTCTATATATATATATATATATATATATATATATATATCAGCCGTTTGATCCGGCTTCAGTGGCTAAAGGGTCTACGAGCTCGCTTTTCAACGTGAATGTCCTAAGTTCGAACCTGATTGGCGGTACTGCCATTATTATTATTATTGTTCCCTTGGGTTCCTAGTGGAACATAGGGCTTCAACTGTACATCTCCACTTGCCACTTCTGTCTTCTGCTGTACTTTTCACCTGAATCCATGTTAGTCCATACTGTTTCAAATCAACATGCTGTTTCACACGATCTCCTCCATGTCACCCTCGCACTGACGTCCCACTCGCCGCTTCCCTTTCGGCCTGGTTCCACTCGAGCGATCGCCTGACGCGCGCGCGATTTCACCCAGCGTGATGCCTCCTCAGCGAGTGTCCAATCCATCTCCATCCACTTTCTCCAGCATATTTATTCGGCGATTGGTTGTTTCTTGTTTTGTTTGTTCCCATAGTTTCTTGTTGGTGATTGTTTCCGGCCCGGCCCGGCCATCTGATCTTCAGTATAGAGCCAGCGAAGACAGTTGTTGTTGATAAATGTCTGTAACCTGTTGGAAATATTCTGCCATAGAGTCCCAAACTAGAATGAAACAGATGTCCGCGGTTTTCCAGTGTTTCTCCAGCTCGTAATCAAACCAGAAACTAAATTATTATTATTATTAAGAATGTGAAAATTCACATGGGAGTGAACAGATTCTAGCTGTTGTGTCTCCCAATCAGGTAATCAGCATAAATATTTTATGGGATAGATAGCAGTACAGTGACTTCTGACAGACTAAACCTTTGAACAGAATCATCTTAGGAAAGCAAAATTATACCTTTTTCTACATAAAGGCTGTCACTGTTTCATGCAAACATTTTAAATCTGCGTTAGGATGAATATCTCGTATATTATATTTGTGGTTTGTAGTGCGAGGTGTGTTAAGACTGTTACTACTGTGAATGGAGTTGATCCTTTCATCAGTTAGTCCTCAGGTATCTGGTGAAAGGATCAACTCCATTCACAGTAGTAACAGTCTTAACACACCTCACACTACAAACCACATATAATTAATCCCAGCACTACTCCCTTTGGAGTCAACCAAAGCTACGACAGTCGAGTGGCGGGACGAGCTACACAGAAGTTTACCGAAGATCAGGAACCTATACCTCACGGTCAAGAGGTGAGCAGAAGGAAATCGAATTGGTTTATACTAGCTTGTAAAAACGATATTGGAATCTTATGGAAGAGGCTAACAGACTGTCACTGACAGTTTAAAAGCACCACTGATTTGGGAATCTGCTCACACAAGAATGCCTTATAAGGTCCTCTCTGAATATATTAGAAATCACTAGCCTTCAATAATGCGGATGCGGACTGACGCCGAATGAAATGACGAGATGACCTTAATTGTTGATGAAGCAGGTGGCGCAGAATCAAAATTTCTTCGTCTGACCCTGAAAACTGGTGGCGATGAGGGGGGACGTATATTATTCGCTGTTTTTCTTCTCTTTCTTGGTATAACAACAACGTACTCGTTCTCATTTCTAGTCTATTATTAGTGTTTCAATTGGGAGACATACGTCGAACTGGGCAGTGCTTGTTGATACATCACGATTTTGGTTTAATTATCGACACATAAGCAATGTTCTTTCCATCTATCGCAGTATTAAACGACTAGGAATACCAGACAGGTAGCGTTTTTAAAATAAGCTGACTTTTTAAGTCGCATTATCCTTATGGTGGCAGATGATGCCAGTTGTAACGCACGAAATCCGAGACCTGGTAATCTATAACGCATAATGCATAAACCCTCAGCAACTATTTTTAATAGCCCTTACAATCGCGTAAATCTGTATGGGGAGGAAATAGAAATTGACTATCGTGGTTATGAAGTTACCGTTGAGAACTTTATCCGTGTACTAACTGGACGTTTACCTCCATCGACGCCCACTTCTAAGCGTCTGAACACTGACGAGCACAGTAACGTCTTAATATACATGACAGGTAATTTTCGGTTTATTATTAACGATTTAGTAAAGGTCATGGTGGCAATGGTTTCCTGAAATTTCAAGATGACAATGAACTTTCTAATAGTGAACTGGCTGATGCAATTGAACAGATGTGGCAAAAGCGCAGGTGAGTCTAATTGATTTAGGCTGCTTCATTTTTGAATGGTGGTCTAGGTAGTATAGATTGCTTATAGTTATTATCAATTATTTTTTGGGTGAACAACGTAATGCTATTGAAAAACAAGTTCATAATGTAGATCAGTGCCAGCTGTGTTTGGAATGAAAGGCTTCTAAACGGAGTTACATCGCAACTTGTGTTACCAGTGACAACTACGTAACGAATCGACCAGGTCACCATATAGTGGTTGAGTTTTGGAACACTGTGATGATATGTGATTGATACGTCTTCACTTAAGTTTTGAAAGGAAGTTATTTTAAATGTCAGGTCACAGAGAACTCTTTTTACTCGGCCTGACATTCGTATTTATTTTCTTTATGAAGCCATATTTCATCAATAAAGTGGTACTAGGTAGTGATCTGTTATTAGCCTTTCAGTAAATAGAACCTTTGATGTTAGTAAAGTGCTCACTTAATACCTCAGTGTGCTGCAATACATTAGTTCTAAAAGAATTTGTTGTCCATAGATTGGACGTCAAAGCTGAATAGTTAATAGATATTAATTGACCGTAGTCCCAGTATTGAGGATTTAAAGTGATGACTGTAAAGTACTTTTAATGGATGTCGTACCAGCATCGATCATGCTGCATAGCCGTCAGTCGTATATCAATCTAAATAGCATATACTGCCATCAACTACTATGGCGTTGATAATTAATCGTCGTCATTCCTAAGTTAATATACGCGAATTCTGTTTACTGTACTTGGTTTTACTGCATATCTGTGAAGACTATTTTCGAGGTGTTAATATTGCGGTAAAGTGTGACCTGCTTATGGTGGATTCATTCCGTAGTTTGAGTCCTTAAGACATTCTATCATTCATATTGAGCTAAACTAGGGATATTTTAGAAAATTGGCCTAAGTTAGCGACGATTGTGATTTATTTAAGATTGCCATATAATGATTTACGTTAATCGAATAAATGGTGGTGTAACTCAGGTATTGACGTCTACTCCTTAGATGCACACTGTCTGTCTGTCTGTTTTCGACATAGAAGTTTGCACAAATGTGCGGAAGTTCAACTCCCACTCGGTGTAGCACGCGAAGCAAGAGAAGAAAGTACAAGAGAAGCATAATAGAAACAGTGAGCATAGGTGTGAGACAAAGGAGTAATAACGAAGAACAAAACAGTTTCATTAGAGATCACAAGTCACAAGGAGTGGGTGCATCTGCGCCACTGAGAACGATTTTGAGCCATGTCACCAATTGTTTCCAACCATAGATTTTTACCGTCTCGAGGACCCCAACCAGGAAGCCAGTCTACACCTTCCTACGTGGCTTAGACCAACTGTTGTGGATTTCATTGACTGGTGAGGCCAAGTTTTTGTTTGACCTCCGCTAGCTTTTTTCCAGCCTGACCCTATATCCGCTAACATTGCTCGTTGGATATCGGGTCAGGCTGGACACTGAGTATTCTTAAGCATTCGTGACGACTGGTTACCTATATGACATGAGTCTGTTTTCGACATAGAACTTTGCACAAATGTGCGGAAGTTCAAGTCGCCACATTCCGTGTAGCACGCGAAGCAAGAGAAGAAAGTACAAGAAAAGCATAATAGAAACAGTGAGCAGAGGTGTGAGACAAAGGAGTAATAAAGAAATACAAAACAGTTTCATTGAAGATCATAAGTCACAGGGAGTGGATGCATCTGCGCCACTGAGAACGATTTTGAGCCATGTCACCAATTGTTTCCAACCATAGATTTTTACCGTCCCGAGGACCCCAGCCTGGAAGTCTACACCTTTCTACGTGGCTTAGACCAACTGTTGTGGATTTCATTGACTGATGCCAAGTTTTTGTTTGACCGCCGCTAGCTTTTTTCCAGCCTGACCCTATATCCGCTAACATTGCTCGTCGAGGGAGGCGATGACTTGGCATACGTAACACATGTCCTAACCATCTCAGTCGATGTAGCTTCACGACTTCGTCGATTGATTTCCCCTGTTTACCTAGAACTCTACGCCTAACCTCCATGTTGCTCACCTTATTATGCCACTTTACACGGGAAATAGAACGCAGGCACCTATGATCAAAGACAGCTAGTCTTTTCATGTCTTCCACTCTCAGTGGCCAGGTCTCACAACCATAAAGGAGGACGGAGCGGACTGATGAGCAGTACACCCGCCCTTTGGTCGATAGTCGAACATCTCGTCTACGCCAGAGTCGGCGTAAACTAACAAATGCGAAACGAGCCCCTTGTATTCGTGCTGAGATTTCGTCAGAGATCAGCCCGTTGGGGCTGATGGTACTTCCCAAATAAGTGAAGCGGTCAACGTGCTCTACCACTTCACTTCCTATTTTTAAACTAGGCGTCGATGTAGTCCAGTCCTGTAACATCATCTTGCATTTGGCGGGAGCGAATCGCATGCCAAACATTCGTAGATTGCGGCTCAAGGTGTTTAGAAGACTCTGCATTTCGTCAGCGTCTTCGCCTAGAAGGACTATATCGTCTGCATATTCCAAGTCAACGAGATTATTCCCCGGTAGCAAGTCAATCCCTGAGTCGCTGAAGTCACCTAGGGTTAAGTCCATTAACACATCTATGATGAAGTTGAATAGAAAAGGAGATAATGGGCATCCTTGACGGACACCACTGGTCGTCATCAGTTCAGATGACAGCTCGCCGTAAGCCCTCACCTGGCTGTATGAGTACGAGTAGAGTGCCTTAATCAGTGCAATATATTTTCTTGGAATTCCCTTTACAGCCAAGCATCTCCAGAGAACTTCCCGATCGACAGAGTCGAATGCTGCCTTTAGGTCAAGAAATATAATGACTGTTGGACGCCGGTAGGAATGCCTATGTTCTAGAATCTGTCGGAGGGTGAAGATATGATCAATACACCCTCTTCCTGGTCTAAAGCCTGCCTGGCTCTCTCGTGTTTGTGCTTCCCGAGCACCACTCAGTCTACGCATGATTATTGAGCCTAAGACTTTAGATACTATATTAGTCAAGCTAATCCCTCTGTGATTATCACAGGAAGACTTGTCTCCCTTCTTGTATATGGGGATAATCAGTGACTTACACCAACCCGATGGGACTTCTTCTGATTCCCAGACGCTGCCTAGTACCTCAGTTAATCCGGACAGTAAGCTGTCTCCACCGTACTTAAATACCTCTGGCGTCATTCCATCAGGTCCCGCTGCTTTGCCTAGTTTCAGATTGGTGACAGCTTTAGTAACCTCAGTTAGTGACGGAGGACCTGTGTCTATATCCCATTCAGGGAGGTGTTGGATGCTCGGAAGGTTGAGCGTGGCTGTGGGCAAATTAAACTGCTCCTCATAATGCTCTTTCCAACGATCCAGTCGTCTATCCTGTGAGCTAATTATAGTGCCATTTTTTTCCGAGATTGTCTCACTAATGATTTGTCTTCTCCCACCCGTTTCCCTGATGAGTCCAAAGAGTTGCCTGGTGTTGCCTATCCTCAAAGCTTTCTCCATCTCTTTGGCTTTTGTCGCCCACCACTGTTCACGGTCCTTGCGGAGACTTTTCGTAAGTTTCCTCTTGTGCAGCTTTCGCTCCTCATTGAATTCGGAGCTCGCCGGAATAAGTCTTCTAGCATCTATCAGTTCGGATGAGGCGGTGGAGATCCAGTGGTTTTTACTCACCTTTGGGTTTACCTTATTCACAGCTTTTATAGCTGTATCTATGGCTGCCTGGATATTTTTCCAAGCTTCTTCAGGGTGAGCACAGCTGTCGAACACAGATATGTGTTTAGCTAGTTCTTCCTCAAATACGGATTTAGTTTCCTGATCGAGCTGGGGACGTGATGGTTTTACCGCCAGCTGTTTCCTACGTCCGTTCAGTCGTAAGCACACCCGAGCGCGGACCAGTGCATGGTCGGTATCTACGCACGTGTTCCAGAAGGAGCGACAATCTCCTACCGACCCACGCCAACGATAGCTTATTGCTATGTGGTCTATTTGTGTCCAGCGTTGGTTTGATGAAGGGGGTCTCCAAGTCAAACAGTGTCTCTCCTTGTGTTTAAAGTTAGTGCTTACAAGAAACAAATGATTATCAGAGCAGAACTGTAGGAGACGGTCACCGTTGTCGGTTCGCTGGCACGGAGCTCCATAGGTGCCACCGACATCCTTCTCAGATTGACACAATTTCCCTACTTGAGCATTAAAGTCACCAGCTAGAACGACTATGTCTGAGCGTTTAGCCTTTCCCACCAAACTAGACATGACATGAGTAGTTGCATGACTTATTTTAATTGTGGTCGCTTTTATTTACTATCCACTGGTTCACTTACCTGAGTTCTGCTTATATCAGTCATGTGAGTATCAGATGTCTATTTTAAATAATTCTCAGATGTAGTTGTAAAACCTGATACGAAAATCACCGAAAATGCGTATTTGTCAGTTTCGTTCTCTGAGGTGTGAGTGCTTACGATGCTATCAGGCTACTCAGACAGAGGTGTTTAATCGAGAATACAGCTCGAGGACCGTGGTATATAACGTGATATTTGATCCAGTCACCTTTTGCTTATAAGGTAATAAGTAAGGCCTTCAGTATGCCTGTATATACATGCTTTATAGTTATGCTATTTCTTGGCTATATGGTTAATTGGAGTTTTCGTATTGGTTATTGTATCGTGACATCTTTAGATAAAGTTTCTGCATCTGATTATGATCTTTTTAAGCATCACAACCGTATGAGTGTGGTTTTCACCACCATGCCACTTGATGATCTGAAACATCCTTCATGTTTATCATTTTGCAGTATTCACATATTCCGTTGTAATATATATATATATATATATATAATATATATATATAATATATATATATATATATATATATATATGTATGAAATCTCAGCACGGATCCAAAAAGCTCGAGCTGCTTTCGCTGACTTACACCATTTCTGGCATAGGCGTGACATCCGGTTATCAACCAAGGGACGTGTGTACTGCTCATCAGTTCGCTCTGTCCTTCTCTATGGCTCTGAAACATGGCCAATACGAGTTGAAGACATGAAAAGGTTGACTGCTTTCGATCATAGATGTCTGCGATCTCTGTCTCACGTTAGGTGGTTTAATAAGGTAAGTAATGTTGACGTTAGGCGTAGAGTGTTGGGCAAAGAGGGAAAATCAATCGACGAGGCTATAAAGTTACATAGATTGATATGGCTAGGTCACGTGGTGCGCATGACTAACCATCGCCTCCCCCGACAACGGGCATTACTAGCTGATATAGGTGCAGGTTGGAAAAGATTAAGTGGTGGCCAAAAAAAACATGGCCTCATCAATCCATGAAATCCTTGACAGTTAAACTGAGTCGGTCAGGTGGGGAGATGCAGACTCCCGGGTTGGGGCCCTCGGGACTCTAGGAATCAATGGCCGGAGACGATAGGTGACATGGCTCAAAATCGTTGTCAATGGCCAGCGCAGATGTATTCAGCCTCTTTAATCTTTCATATTCCTTTCTACCATTACCCATTCTGTTTCACTCTTATACTTGTGAAACTCTATTGATTCTCTTCACTCATCTTCTTGTCTACCTCTGTGTGATATTTGGAACGTGGCAACTCGAACTGGTGCACTTCGGTGCCAAGTTCTGTGTGGAATCCAGACAGACAGACAACATATATATATATATATATATATATATATATATAATGAAGAGAATGATAACACAAGAAATTTTTTCGGTGTGAATTCTATTACTGAGCAGCATCAGGTGTTCTGTCCTTCTTTAGTGCGCTCCTACGACCTCACCAGGGATCGAATTTGAGAGCTTCAGATTATGTGGTCAGCTCGTTGACCATTCAACCACTTCGGATAGAATTCAGTGACCAGTAAACTCGAACTTCTATCAATTCATGATATAGCACTAGTGTAAACCGGTGCCACTAAGGTGCATCGTCTTCACTTTGACATGAACAACTCCACTGGACACGACTTTCCATAACAACTTCGGGACATTTACTTACACAGTAGCTACGATTGAGCTGTAGATCGATATTTTAGATTATGGATTTTGTAGGGTTTTGGAGTAATTTCAGTGCAGATTTAAGTTTCATTCCATTCGAAGTCTAATTTTTTTGTATTTTGTAACTGTATATCTCATATTGTTTAATTTTTACACAGTTCTGTTATCGAATTTCTGTGTTGTTTTCTCAGAATCACCCGAATGTTCTTTGAGAATAGGTATCACTCTTATTTGTAGGATATGAAACTAAATGAGTCCCAAGAAGGTTAAACCTTACAGTACAAAGTAATTAAAGTAGACTATTCAAAATTGATTACTACCAAGATATTTCAATATAGCAAAAATATTCATTCGGACATCTGTAAAACACAAAATAATCGAGTGAAGATTATTCTTTTCTATAAATTCCTCTTCGCGCTCTACAATTATATATTTTTTTGATTTACAGCTTGATTCCACACTGTATTTTTGGTACAAGTATGGAATTTTCAGCATGGATATCGGTAGCCCAAATTTTGCAGGCCGACCATAGATATCAGGTGTGCGCCGGCGTGGCTCGAACCCCGGACCATGTGCATGGTCGGCGAGAGTCCTAACCACTGTGCCACCGACGCACATATATATATGTTTATATAAACAAAATATTCTAGAATAGTAGTCAATAACAATATTAGTGTTTTTTAAATAGTATCGATTTATTAAGTAAGACCAATGCAATTACAGTTCATTAAAAATGCTTAAATAATAATAATAATAATAAAGATATGGTAGCAAGTAGAATATCAATTAAAATTAGGAAAATTCCACAAAAATTCATAATCATTCAAACCTAGATGGCCAAGGTAATGATAATATCTGAACTAACTTCTTTTGGATGCATAAATCAGGCTTGTTAATATGGATCCTCACAGCCTCGGCAATATTTAATAGTCGAACTCTTAAGGCAAAATTGAGATTCGTAGGTATGCAGCAAATCACCCTGAAAGCATGGTTAACGTCAATCTTGTGTTCTGTATCCACAAGATGAGACAGAATAGAGCTGTGACAAGATTTTGTTTGTCCTTTGCATAACCACGCAGGATGATGTTCGGAAATTCGATGCGAAACATGCCTAATTGTACGGCCTATGTAACTGGTTCCACAGTTACAGTTAAATTGGTAAATACACATGGAAGAGGCGAAATTAGGCAGTTTGTCTTTTACTCCCGAACTCAGAAGAGGAGTGGTTTTAAAGATACAGCGTAATTCGGCAGCAGGGAATACTCTTTTTGCCGCATTTCTAAGGCGCTGTGTTAGTATCTCGCTGGTGTTGTCCCCAAGGAACTGCATTTGTAAGAATAAGGCCTTTTTGGAACTGTTGGTAACTTGGGCTGCTTTGGTTTTAAGATTCGTATTCTTATCAATAAACTTTTCAGGATAACCATTTTCACTTAGCAACCGTTTAATATTATTAAGTTCCTCATCAAGACATTCGTCCCAGCAAATCGCTCTTGCTGTGCGAACCAAGCACCTTGTCAGATCGCGTTTATATTTCAAGGGCACAAAGCTGAGAGAATGTGTGTACTGACCCGTTGATGTAGGTTTTCTATATACACTTCTTATTGTGCCATCCTCTTTTCTGGTCATAAGGACGCCTAAAAATGGAATACTAGAGTCTTTTTCTTTCTCATTAGTAAAATTTATTGCAGGATGTATCTCATTAAATTTATCCAGGATGCCCTTTGCTTCCTTCTCATTTTTCATAATCAAAAAAGTATCATCCATGTACCGACAATAAAATTCAAGTTCATTAATAACATCCTTCAAAGGCGCATTTTCTAGTTTCGCAAGGAAAATGTCGGCTAGAATGGGTCCTAGTGGTGACCTCATTGCCACACCATCGATTTGTCTCTATAGTTCTTTATTAAATAAGAAGTGGACATTCATTGTACTTTTGTAAAAGATATAGGAATGCCAACATCGATGTTTCGTCTTTTAAGTTCTTTATTAAATGGAAACGGACTACTGGATTACGGTCATGTCCAGGCTGAAGCCGAAATAACCTGGTTCATAATGTAGCAATAGCGATATGTTTTTTATCTCTCTCTCTCTCTCTCTCTGTTATAGTCTATAAACTTTCAATTTTGACTTACTTCTGTTTAACAGGTATCATGAATTACTGTTTGTTGTCGATACATGTCAAGCTGAATCTATGGGCAAACTGTTTTACTCTCCAAATGTAGTTGCAATCGGTAGTAGTGCAGTCGGTGAAGAATCTTTGTCTGTGAGTTACCTAAATTATTTCAAAAAAAATTCATGACAATATTCTTGTTTGTTGCTTTGTTTGCATTCAAATTTCCCTACTTATGTACAGGTAACATACTTTTTTTTTTAAAGAAAGATATACCTTTATAAATATAAACCTGTCTGTTGCCTGTTTTCAACATAGAACTTTTCACAAATGTGCGGCAGTTCAACTCGCCACACTCCATGTAGCACACAAAGCAACAGAAGAAAGTAGAAGAAGTGCATAATAGAGACAGTAAACAGAGGTGTGAGACAAAGGAAGAGTAATAACGAAGAACAAAACAGTTTCATTGGAAATCATAAGTCACAGGAAGTGGATGCATCTGCGCCACTGAGAACGATTTTGAGCCATGTCACCAATTGTTTCCAACCATTGATTTTTACCGGCCCGAGGACCCCAACCAGGAAGCCAGTCTACACCTTCCTACGTGGCTTAGACTAACTGCTGTAGATTTCATTGACTGATGAAGCCATGTTTTGGTTTGACCACCACTAGCTGGCTCTTTTCCAGCCTGACCCTATGTCAGCTAACATTGCCTGTTGTCGAGGAAGGCGATGTCTAGGCATACGTAACAAATGTACCAACCATCTCAATCGATGTAGCTTCACAGCCTCGTTGATTCATTTCCCCTGCTTACCCCTCCCCTGCACTCGATGCCTAACCTCAATGTTGCTCACCTTATTATACCACTTCACACGGGATAGAACGCAGACACCTATGATCAAAGACAGCTACCCTGCTTTTTCATGCCTTCCACTCTCAATGGCCAGGTCTCTCTCACAGCAATAAAGGAGGACAGAGCGAACTGCTGAGCACTACACTCGCCCTTCGGTCGAAAGCTGGCTAGCCGGATATCACGTCTACTAAGCCGGAGACGGCGTAAACTGGAATATGCGAAACTAGCCCTCTGTATTCGTGCTGAGATCTCGTCACAGATCAACCCGCTGGCACTGGCTGATGATACTTCCCAAATTAACATAATCCATGTGTTTGTTAAGTTCTAACTATATTTTATTTTGGTCAGCATTAGAAACTTCCTGTCTCTCTATGCTGTTGAAACATGTCACATTGTTAGGTTATTGCTTTGCTTTACTACCAGTGGAACACATGGCTTTAAGTTTATGCCTTGAAGTTTCAGTAGCAGAGGTGTTTGGAATGACTCCAGAGGTATTTAAGTACGGTGGAGACAGTTTACTGTCTGCATTAACTGAGGTTCTAGGCAGCATCTGGGAATCAGAAGTCCCATCGGGTTGGTGTAAGTCACTGACAAGTCTTCCTGTGATAATCACAGAGGGATTAGCTTGACTAATATAGTATCTAAAGTCTTAGGCTCTATAATCATGCGTAGACTAGGTGGTGCTCGGGAGGAACAAACACGAGAGAGCCAGGCAGGCTTTTGACCAGGAAGAGGGTGTATTGATCATATCTTCACCCTCCGACAAATTCTAGAACATAAGCACTCCTACCGGCGTCCAACAGTCATTATATTTCTTGACCTAAAGGCAGCATTCGACTCTGTCGACCGAGAAGTTCTCTGGAGATGCTTTGGTGTAAAGGGAATTCCGAGAAAATATATTGCACTGATTAAGGCACTCTACTCGTACTCATGCAGTCAGTCAGGTGAGGGCTTACGACGAGCTGTCATCTGAACTGGTGACGACTAGTGGTGTCCGTCAAGGATGCCCATTATCCCCTTTTCTATTCAACTTCATCATAGATGTACTAATGGACTTAACCGTAAGTGACTTCAGCGACTCAGGGATTGACTTGTTACCAGGGAATAATCTCGTCGACTTGGAATATGCAGACGATATAGTACTGACTCCTAGGCGAGGACTCTGACAAAATGCAGAGTCTTCTAAACACCTTGAGCCACAATCTACGAATGTTTGGTATGCGATTCGCTCCCGCCAAATGCAAGATGATGTTACAGGACTGGACTACATCGACGCCTAGTTTAAAAATAGGAAGTGAAGTGGTAGAGCAGGTTGACCGCTTCTCTTATCTGGGAAGTACCATCAGCCAGTGCCAGCGGGCTGATCTGTGACGAAATCTCAGCACGAATACAGAGGGTTAGTTTCGCATATTCCAGTTTACGCCGTCTCCGGCTTAATAGACGTGATATCCGGCTAGCCAGCTTTCGACCGAAGGGCGAGTGTAGTGCTCAGCAGTTCGCTCTGTCCTCCTTTATTGCTGTGAGAGAGACCTGGCCATTGAGAGTGGAAGGCATGAAAAAGCAGGGTAGCTGTCTTTGATCATAGGTGTCTGCGTTCTATCCCGTGTGAAGTGGTATAATAAGGTGAGCAACATTGAGGTTAGGCATCGAGTGCAGGGGAGGGGTAAGCAGGGGAAATGAATCAACGAGGCTGTGAAGCTACATCGATTGAGATGGTTGGTACATTTGTTACGTATGCCTAGACATCGCCTTCCTCGACAACAGGCAATGTTAGCTGACATAGGGTCAGGCTGGAAAAGAGCCAGCTAGTGGTGGTCAAACCAAAACATGGCTTCATCAGTCAATGAAATCTACAGCAGTTAGTCTAAGCCACGTAGGAAGGTGTAGACTGGCTTCCTGGTTGGGGTCCTCGGGCCGGTAAAAATCAATGGTTGGAAACAATTGGTGACATGGCTCAAAATCGTTCTCAGTGGCGCAGATGCATCCACTTCCTGTGACTTATGATTTCCAATGAAACTGTTTTGTTCTTCGTTATTACTCTTCCTTTGTCTCACACCTCTGCTTACTGTCTCTATTATGACTTTCTTGTACTTTCTTCTGTTGCTTTGTGTGCTACATGGAGTGTGGCGAGTTGAACTGCCGCACATTTGTGAAAGTTCTATGTCGAAAATAGACAGACGGAATGGGACATAGCGACAGCCCGAACAGCACAACGCCATTTCATCCTGTTTTCTGCAGTCCTCTTTAACTGGGTCCACCATTGCCCGTAAGCTTTCAAAAATCTTCACGTCACCGTTTGGGCTTCACTTGGGTGGTCAGCTGGCACGCTGTATCAGTCAACGGTTTCCTTAACTTGTTTCCAATCCATCTCCCCATTTACTTCTGAATGTTTGTTAAACAATAGGTTCTTAGTTGTTGGTTCGCGCTTCCGAAATTCCTTATTGCTTAACCCCTTTTGCCAGTCATCTGATCTTCAGTATGAAGCCAGCAGTTGTTGATGAAAGCCTGCAGTAACCTGTCGTAAATGCTTTTAGTGACCGCGCCAAGTCTCTGAATTATATAGAAGCACTACTAATGGATTTTTACATAAGTGTTGATAATCTGAACCTGTTTGTTTTAATGCTGATTGTATAGTGGATTGCCGCACTAATTTCAGAGTAACGAATGTCTGTTTTTGCACATCCGTGCCGACTGCCTTGATGCCGCTGCCCAAATAGTTAGTGAAAGAATTCATCTCTTCCAAATATATCCCGTTGGTTGGAACTGATGCTTGTTATCGCCGTTGGTGAATATATCTTCACCTTTATGCTTACTTGAAGTCCTGTCTTCGCTGCTTCGATTCAATTACTAGGCATTATTCTACCAATTGGATTCAAATCTCGCCTACCAGTTCACGAATCAACGTAGTATTCGGCATTGCCAAACTTTGAAGAATCGCTCGAAATAAGGGGATGAAAATGTAGTTACACCTCCATATAAGTTTGTTTATTAGACCCCGAGCATCCTCTCTATACGCATCTATCTCCTTGCATTTCATCTGGTAGAACTAGAAGCAGCTATAGGAGGTTATATGCTAGGACTATCAAATACAAAAACTCCACAATACCATATCTGGCACAGCTGTTATGTGATGAGAAATCCGTTAGGTATGACACGATAAACTTACTGCAGCACTCTAACAAATAGTCTCATTAGTTTTTGTTTTCCTTTCCTCGTTACTATTACACTGTTGTTCTCATCTTCTACCACACATCAACTTTATATTTCAAATCCTGTGGTGCATTGTTTGAAATGAAATACTCTACGCTGTTTTTTCTTAATTTTTAATTTTTATTTATTTTATTTATTTATAACTTATTTATTTTATTTTTATTTATTTATCTTTGATTTTTAAAAATCTTATATAATTTATGAGGTAATTAGATGCAATATACTGTAATATACTGTAATGCACGCTGAAAATTCCATACCTGTACCACAAATACCGTTTGGAATAAAGCTGTTATTATTATTATTATTATTATTATTATATCACACGGTGATGAAACAGTATTATTTGCTGGATGACACAGTTTCGAACAATTTATTGTTCATAATCGTACCATTCAATTGTAATCACACGACTTTGAAACTTGAGTTTTATAGTTTTGTTTGTTTTCTCCTATTTATCTTAGTAGGGGAAGTAGAATTTTCCAGATATCAGGGACAGGTGATGAATCATTCCTATTACACGTATTCTCTCTCAGTTGATTCGATAAACAAAACTTCTGTTATTAGTCAGTCTCTCCCTCCATCCTGTGACATTAGATTTTAAAACTGTCATCTTATCCTATCCAGCACATTGTATGGTTGTGTGCAATTGCATGTAGTGAGTGGTATAGCTGAACTATTCTCTGTATATTTTTTATCTCATTCGGGTCAACTAATCTAGATTTTGCCGGGTTTTATGTTCGGCTAGTCTGATTGACCCTGTTCTACTAGTTTGATCTATGTATTTGACCTGACAATCATTGCAAACAGGGTATTAGATAAACTGAATTGTTTAGTTTTAAAGGCTCCACACACAGGATCCTTTAACCGACAAAGCTTGTTCCTAATTGAGTTTGTGGTTGGTTCGAATGTCAGCCGCTTTAATTCCTGCCTTGTTAAGAATTCTGCGTAAAGGTTTCCGAGGTTCCTTCCTTGCATGGAATTACTACTGATGATTTAGATTCCTTATTGTTGGTGTCGTCATTATTATTATTATCATCTTTATTATTATAATAATTATTATTATTGTCACTATCGCTACTGTCACTATTTATTTTATTTTTACATTTCCTTACATATTTTCTGACTAATTTATCCGGGTAATTATTAAGTCTCAACTTTTTTTATGTTTATCGCTTCCTGTCTTAGATTTTCCTTGGTACTACTTAGTTTTTGTGCTCTGTCACTTAAACATTTCACCAATCCTATATTTACTGACATAGATTGGGTGGGATGATTGGAAGTTCAAATATCTGTTTCAATGTGTGGGTTTCCTGTAAACACTAATGTTTAACTTCCCATCTTCTTTCCTTTTTACACTGCAGTCTAACATTGGAAGCTCCCCTTCCTGACTTTCCAACTCATGAGTGAATTGAATTGCCTCTACGTTCGAGTTTATGTGTTCGAAAAATCTGTCTATATCTTATGTTCTAAATACAGTGAATGTGTCATATACATACCTCCACCATACTTTTGGGGTGGGGTTGAACGTTTCAATCGCTATGTATTCCCACCTATTGATGAATATATCTGCTACAAGGGGGGTTATTAGTGATCCCATGACAACTGCCTCCGGTTGTTTGTATATTTTCCCTTGGAATTTAAATACTGTAGAAGTCAGGCATAGCTGCACTCCCAGCGTTATGTTCTCAAGTGCCACTTTTGTCCTAAGTTCGAGTTCTTGGTCAGGAATGAGTTAGTGTATACGGATTTGTTCTGTCTCAAGTTCGATCACGGAGTGGTGATATCAGTTAAAAAAGTATTGAGAAACTAGGAAGTACTAATCAGATGTTTCGTCCTAGTTTGGTACTCATCGACAGTACGCACCCACTGCCAAGATTTGAACCTTCCAGGTTCAAGTCATGTTCATAGACCATTCAGCCACTAAGACCCTATCCAACGGCTCATAAATTCTAACTCCTGACTATTTGTGATTTGTAGCGCAATCAATCACCAGCCGATGTCATCATCATCATCAAGTAACTCTGTTCTCTTACTTGACTTGGTGAATCTCTCTGGTCACAACATCTCACTAGAGAGTTCCAGGCGCGACTCCATCCTGCAGTGAGTCACTAGCGAGCATCTTATTCACTTCGAAAAGTTAGTTTTTGTTAGGATTTCACCTGTTTCAAGTATGACCACAGAATGATATCAATCATCATTATTATTAGTGGTATTAGTATTATGACTATCAACCGCAAAAACTTGGTACGATATGGGTACCGAGTGACGCCTCATACAGTGTGCACATGTATTCAAGTATTCAGTGCTTCAGTTTTGATTAGGTTCGTTTCTGCTGACGATATGCATCAAACAACTTGTGTGTAATTGTCTGTCTGTTTTCGACATAGAACTTTGCACAAATGTGCGGCAGTTCAACTCGCCACACTCCATGTAGCTCACAAAGCAAGGGAAGAAAGTAGAAAAAATGCAAAAATAGAGACAATACACAAGGATATAAAACAAAAGGAATAGAAATAACGAAGAACAATATAGTTTCATTGGAAATTAGAAGTGACAAGGAGTGGATGCATCTGCGCTATCATCGAGAACCATCACTGAGCCATATCACCGATTGTTTCTGGCCTCATCGGTTTTTACCGTTCCGAGGACCCCAACCCGTCAGGAAGTCCACACCTTCCTACGTGGCTGGCCGGCCTAAACTAACTGTTGTGGATTTCATTGACTGATGAGGCCATGTTTTGGTTTGACCGCCACTAGCTGGTTCTTTTCCAGCATGACCCTATTTGTAATTATAAGTGTTTGTTTTTGACTACCTTCCTGGATGCTACTTTTCAAATCAATCACTATAATATACTCTGCCTAGTAGTGAAGTATATCATCTTTGTTTTTCTTTTTTCCTTTTTTTCAGCTTAACTGATGCAAATTCCAAGAGGAGACAGTTTTCTTATATTGAACCTATTGATTGTGATCTGTGATCTTTTTTTTTCTTGTACACTTTTGTGTTGAATTGTTTATAGCAGTTTATGGCAACATTTTTTTCCTCTAAATTTTATATTTAAAAATTTTTTTTTAAAAGAATCTCTCTCTCTTTTGAATACATTGATGTAAAAATAATTTTTTTGTTTTCTCGTAGTTAAGTCAACAATTGGAAAAAGGTGTATGCTTGTTTGTGTGGGAGTTCCTCTAACTTGACTAGAATGCGCCTCCAAAACACGGCACTATAACAGCCAATCAACTTGAGTGTTAAGCTGTCAGTAATTTACAGCTATAATGATGTCAGCTGCGAACAACCACCATGAATAATTTCAATATCAATACTGGGATTTGATACTAGTTGTTAGTAACTAGTCCGTCATTTGTTTCCAGCAGTCAGGTTTAGAATGTGGCCACTAGTTCTAGGTGGCTACTAGCCATCACGTTGCGCTTTGTGAATTTGTTTGCATTAGATGGTTGATATCAATCGGCAGGAAGCCTTGCACATAGATTTCGTGCTCGTTTGCACTCACCAGTTAGTATCCGCCATTTTGAAGGAACTCGTGTGCCCTCTCAGAATTGAGCATGTGAATACCCAATGGTGCAGTCAGAGACATTTCCACTGAGCTAGTCGGACTAGCGATTGGTCTCCAATCAAAGGACTGAATGCATCAAAGTGTCTAATACAGTCCTAAAAGAGGTCAGTCGTCAGCCCGATTAGCTCAGTAGTAATGTCTCTGATAGCACCACTGTGTGATGATACAGGCTAGAATCCTAAAAGGGACATGAGTTCCTTCAAGATGGTGGATACGCCTTGCTGACTGACTGGTGAATGCCAGCAAGCACGAAACCTAGGTGCAGGGCTTCTTGTCGATTGCCTCCAACTGTCTGATAACATTATTATCAATATAGACAAAATAATATAGGGCGAATAACTGTTTCCAGTAGACTCTTCTTCAGGCTCTACGATTATAAATCCATTAATTTAAGCATACAATATCCAGCTTATAAAGGCAAAGTAGAGTCATATAAGAAAGTTTATTGTGAAGCAAGTATAAGGTGGGATGAAACAATAGTCAGTTAGTTTTTTAATATGCATGGTCAATGAGAACATAAGATAAAATGAGATGAAATAATTTAATTTAATGATGTATATATATATATATATATAACCAACAGAAAAATACACGTTTCGAGAGTGAGTGTAATCAGGGTGTGTGAGACAATATGAAAATGAACCAAAGAATGGAGCGGTCTAGACATAAGGTTGAAAATAACGACAGTAACAATGATTGTAAAATAATAAGGAAGATATGGTGTAAAATTACAAGTACTACTGGTGAATGATTGTCAAATAATAATAATGAATATAGTGAAGTGGAATGAACAAGACTTTGTAAATACGATAACAAGTTATAAAAGCACTACTTAAACCTAAGATTATAAAATCATAAGAAAGGTCATGAAATCATAAAAGTCGAAAATGAACGTTTGTCAGTGAAACAAAGGAATAGAAGAAGAAAAGAAAATTGTGATAGGAATTTATAATGTTAATGGAGGATTTGTTGGCTTTATTGTAGGCCAAGGTAAACATAGAAGGTGAACATACTTCTTCTGTATACGAAAAGTTGGTCTTTTGGTATTAATTGCAACCGCTTCAGCTACTGATGAAAGACATACATAGTCGAGCTGCTATAGATAGATTAGTAGAAACGCGTTAAATAACTGAGAACTCCTGGTCAAGTTTTTATCGAGTATCCAGGTGGGCTAAGACTGCACTATTTTTATGCATTTGGTTACCCCTTTACTCAACCATACAGGTACATGTTTACGCGCGCGTATATAGATAAAACCCTTTGAGTACGGCCAATGTAACTAGCTCCACAAGAGCAGTTGAATTCATAGATACATATATATTGATAAGGCTATCTTTGGTCATTTATCCTTGACTCGTTGTGTGTGTGAGTACTGGTTTAACTGAGAAGATGATTACCAGTTTAGCTGCAGAAAATGTTCTCTTTACTGCTCTGTGAAGTCGACATTTTAGAATATCAGCTAAAATTCCTCCTTTGTAACTTAACAAAGGTTTCTTGTCTACGGTACCCACCATCTCTAGGTATTGACATTTACCCAGAGAACTTCCTAAAAAACAGTAAATGTCGTGGTCCAATTCGTTAGTATTTATAGAAATTATTTTAGAATTACGCATTAATGATACAACTTGAAAACCTGTGTAAAATCAACAATTCACTTATGTAAGACGCAATATCTAGATGGGCTACTGAAAAAGAGGACTCTGTCATATATATTACTAAGAGTATTAAAGGTTACGGGTAAGGCAAATAGTATGTCACTAAGTCAGCTCAAACAAAGGAGAAAAAACAAAAACAGGCCCCGTGTGACCGGCCTCAAGCAGTTGTCCCCTGGGCTCTGCGGTCACGCAACCAACTTCCACGGTGTGGGCAGCCGGGAAGTAACAAACGCCCTCACAATCCGAAATGCACACAAAACCTCTCTAATCCTCACTTATCTTTGTCTTCATCTTCATCTCTATTACCTTGCCTTCCCCCACTGATGCAACTCCTCTACTTGATGGCTCCTCACTCCCTCTTCACTCTGTGTCCACTAAGAACGACGAAAGCCAAAAAACCACCACGGATAGTCTCCTAAAGCCACGCCACCAATTTCATATAGGAGCTCTTAATGTTAGGACACTTTGCCAAATAGGACAACAAGCATCACTAGCTAAGACCCTGGCATCCGAGCCATTGATGTATGCTGTGTTTCAGAAACACGCATACAAGACCCAAGTGTGGTTATTCACCTAACCCCACCTGGCCAACAGGATGAATCTTCAAAATTCACCTTGAGGGTGTCAGGAGATGCCACAGCTAGTTCACGAGGATTAGCTGGCGTAGGGATAGCTTTGAGTACTAGGGCAGAAAAGACATTGCTTGACTGGATCCCAGTAGATAGCCGAATGTGTGCTGTCCGTCTGAACGGATCAGTAAGAAGGAGAAAGGACTGCACTACTCGCCGATGCCTTTTCGTAATCTCCGCCTACGCCCCCACTGACTGCAGTTCGGATGAAACGAAGGATGAGTTCTACCAAAAGCTGTCTAGTTTGGTGAGAAAGGCTAAACGCTCAGATATAGTCGTTCTAGCTGGTGACTTTAATGCTCAAGTAGGGAAATTGTGTCAATCTGAGAAGGATGTCGGTGGCACCTATGGAGTTCCGTGCCAGCGAACCGACAACGGTGACCGTCTCCTACAGTTCTGTTCAGATAATCATTTGTTTCTCGTAAGCACTAACTTTAAACACAAGGAGAGACACTGTTTAACCTGGCGACCCCCATCATCAAACCAACGCTGGACACAAATAGACCACATAGCAATAAGCTATCGTTGGCGTGGGTCGGTAGGAGATTGTCGCTCCTTCTGGAACACGTGTGTAGATACCGATCACGCACTGGTCCGGGCTCGTGTGTGCTTACGACTGAACGGACGTAGGAAACAGCTGGCGGTAAAACCATCACGTCCCCAGCTCGATCAGGAAACTAAATCCCTATTTGAGGAAGAACTAGCTAAACGCATATCTGAATTCGACAGCTGTGCTCACCCTGGAGAAGCCTGGAAGAATATTCAGTCAGCTATAGATACAGCTGTAAAAGCTGTGAATAAGGCAAATCCAAAGGTGAGTAAAAACCACTGGATTTCGACTGCCTCATCCGAACTGATAGATGCTAGAAGACTTATTCCGGCGAGCTCCGAATTCAATGAGGAGCGAAAGCTGCACAAGAGGAAACTTACGAAAAGTCTCCGCAAGGACCGTGAACAGTGGTGGCTGACAAAGGCAAAAGAGATGGAAAAAGCATCGGCGATAGGAAACACTAGGCAACTCTTTAGACTCATCAGGGAAACGGGTGGGAGAAGGCAAATCATAAGTGAGACTATTTCTGAGAAAAATGGCTCCTTAATTAGCTCTCAGGATAGACGCCTTGAACGCTGGAAAGAACACTTTGAGGGACAATTTAACTTGCCTACAGCCACACTGAACCTCCCCGACATCCAGAACACACCCGAATGGGATATAGACACTGGTCCGCCGTCTGTAAGTGAGGTCATAAAAGCTATCAGTAATTTGAAACGAGGCAAAGCGGCAGGACCCGACGGAATTATTCCGGAGGTGTTTAAATATGGGGGTGACATACTAGTTTGTAGATTAACTGAGGTACTAGGCAAAGTCTGGGAATCAGAGACAGTACCATCAGACTGGGGTAAGTCACTTATTATACTTATGTAACAACAGAAGACAAGGGCTGGCAACAGATCGTTTTATTACGAAAATCAACACGTATTTATATATATTTTATATGCATTAATAAGGCTTATGCAAGCAGAAAAAGGCAGTCTTCTGATTGGTTGTTTCTCGGAAGTTAAGCAGACAAACACAGTCTTATGATTGGTTGTGTTCGATATTTCTCGGAAAGTAGAGCCATCTATCTGCGAATCATATTTGTCCACATTTAAGTTTGCTGTGATTGGTTGTTGAAACAGCCTTGTTCATATTTTCTCACGGCCCATATTAGTGACCTAGACATTAACGTAGATTAGTGTCAACCAATCGGCTAGCAGCCTGCTCTCACCACACTTATACTTATTATACCGATATTCAAGAAGGGAAACAAGTCCTCGTGTGATAATCATAGGGGGATCAGCCTAACGAGCATAGTCTCTAAAATCCTAGGCTCAGTAATCATGCATAGACTAAGCAGAACTCAGGAGGAACAGACAAGGGAAAATCAAGCAGGCTTTAGACCAGGTAGAGGGTGCATAGACCATATCTTCACTCTTCGACAGATTCTAGAACATAGATACACTTTTCGGCGTCCAACAATTGTCATATTTCTTGACTTAAAGGCGGCCTTCGACTCCGTGGATCAAAAGGTACTATGGCAATGTCTGACTGTGAAGGGAGTGCCAAGAAAATACATTGCACTAATCAAGGCACTCTATTCAAACTCACGTAGTCGTGTAAGGGCTTATGGGGAATTGTCATCTGAATTGGTAAAAACCAGTGGTGTCCGACAGGGATGTCCACTTTCCCCATTTCTGTTTAACTTCATCATAGATATGCTAATGGAAGTATCCTTAACTGAACGTAG